CTCAGATCTTTGCGCTTTAAAGCTCTGAGTGTAGCTTTACCATCAGGCGTACGACTTGTTCGTACATGGTTCGTAGTCACTTGATATTATTATTTAAAAAAATTGTGGTTGTAATTTGTGGTTGTCCATGGCACCCGCGATACAGAGTTTCACTAATACGGGGCTTGTCGCTCTAATTTCTAGCTTTAAATTGTACGTACAAAAAAACAATCAAACTTTTGCACCAAATAGATCAATCGCCTGCTCCAGAGCAAAACCTAGTAAGGGACAAATTTTTTTTTAACGGAATATTAGTCTCATTAAGTACTCACCTAAAGCGGTGACGCATATTGGGCCTTGGGGCTGTAGCTTAGGCAAGTAGGTATAGCTAGATAAGATTAGGTAATGTGATTGTCGAGACTGAGTAATAGAGTCGCCAAAATAAGCTTTATTAACTTTAAAATGGCGGACTGATAAAATCGATCTTTTATTTATTTTTTATTTAGGGTATTGAACTATTTTTTCGGATCTAAGAGTACAAACGCGCGATTGCATCGATGCAATTGCTTATAAATCACAGGTGTAGTGATGTAATCGCGCGTTTGCATCGCGGCATAAAGTCGCACGTGTGTTTTGAACGATAAGTCGCCGTGTGTAACCGGACTAAATCGCGTATATTTGTTTTTTCAAAACCAACCAACGTTTCGGGCCCTGTACAGGTCCCATGGTCACGGCTAACCATGCAGCTGAGAGTCAGCCACACAGATATGTACGGGGTTGTTTTTAAAATGCTAACAACAACAAAGTAGCAACTTAACGTAGCAAAAATAAAGTTTTTGTAGTACTTTCAGACTTTTTAGATATGTATTTTGTTGAATAAGTTCAAACGTGCAAGTGTCCTCCGCGACGACTCCCACACCCGTCCACAAATAGGAAGAAACGTACCAGTAGTTCTGTCAACAGAACTAGTGCAAATAATCGGACTACACAGAGTCATTACCCTTCAGAGCGCTCTGTACTAATCTATTTATTTTTCTATGAAAGAAAATCTGATGAAGCATGTAACAAAAGTTGTTGTTTATGATATTAGTAATATAATCTTGGGAGGTGGTTAATATTTTAAAAATAACCCTGTATAAATAATTATTAACTTTTCCGTACGAGATACCCCATACTACTACTATATATTTATTTATAGTATTATTTTATAGTACTATCATATTTATTTTACGGCGAACGGGTTAAATTAGACAAAACGTAAACAAAAAAGCAGTTATTGTAAACCTTCTTTTAACCGACTTCAAAAAAAGGAGGAAGTTATACGTTCGGCTGTATGTATGTTTTCAGATATCTCCATCAATTGTAGACCGATTTTCAAAATTCTTTTGTTTGAAAGGTGGTCCCTGAGGCTGTTCTGGGTTCGTTTCGACTATAACAAATTACTAATTATTTTCCGCAAATAAAAGTGGACTTTTTACTTGACACAATACGTGTAATCAACAAATCACCGTCAAAAATATAAAATTAAACAGCCGTGGTTTGTGAAAAGAAGTTAGAAAGTTCTATACAACTATTTGTATATTACGTATTAGTCATGGATTTTTCTATGAACACCTGCAAAGAATGCACATGATCTCCTCCCCGTCGTGCACTCACTGTAACTGCTCCAACCAATCCTTGCATCACATATTTTTCGATCGCCCACATTTTTCTATCGCTAGAATAATCCTCATCGATAACCTTTTTGAACTGTACAAAACCCTTGAAAACATCCCGCTTTCTTTACCAGATCTGAAAAATCAAGAATGTTACCTAATTTTATATCATTTCGTAAGAAGCGCTTTCGAAGACATTTAATTTTGTAATTTGTGATAAAAAAACGTCAACGCCCACCACCACAAAAAATAATTGAATACGTATTTTTTATATTAACTTAACACAAAAAATTAAAAGGAGAAAAATATATGTATATATGTAGTGTATAGAGTTTTTTTTCAAATGCGGTAGCACTCACTGGACACCTTCAACGCCTCCCAGTTGCTTCCAAAGCCAGGGCCTAGGACTCTTCATCGCCCACCCGGGGGCGGTAGGGACCACTGTGGGAAACTATGCTCTAAGCCAAAAGTCAGAATCCGATGAGAGGATCCCTTAAGACGATTCCTTTATTTATATCCATCCTTCAAGGAGGATCCCATGGAAATGGAAAACACTTTTGAAAAAACTTCGAAAAATTTTCGAACTTTCGAAAAACTTATTCTACGAGTAAAAGACCTTTTTTCTTCAGACAATAAATTACAGTCAAGGAAAATATGGCAAAACAAATGTCATTTTCTTTACAAAAAAGAACTGGTTGAAGTTTTGAATCACTGCTTGTTTTGTCATTTTTCAGCACTAGTTTATGTGAAGACACGAAGTTTTAAACAGGTACTGAATACTACGAGACAAAAATAACGTAATAATTACAAGATTCTCGATATCGCATATTGAAATCGATACTGTCACTGAACGAAGAAGACAACTTATGGGAAATGGTCATTAGTTTTCACGGTGCGATATTACCAAAATAAAGAAATAAAACAATCTGATTACAGTAATATTAATTTATTAAAGTAAAAACTTGCCTATCACTAAGATATTCCACGCCGAACAACATCGTAAATGGACAATACTCATAGAAATTAAGTCACTTTAAGCGTTGATACACAATCTATGTTCTTAAGTAATTTCTTACTATTTGGCGATGTTTATAAATAGATATTACCAAACAGAACAAAATAATAAAGGTAATAACCCACTTTTCAGGACGCACCAGTACCACGGCCTTACAGCAGTATCACACAGTCAACGGAATCAAAATAAATGTTGCGCGTGCTTATTATTAATTAAAGAGTTAATTTAATAGCAGTCAAAAGTAATAATTTTTAAGAGAACAAAAGGCACTACGTATAAATGAGCTTTATGCAATTTACAACTCATTAAATTACAAATAGCATGCAATAAAAATCATGGCTGTGAATTTAGTGTAAACAATGAACTAGTATTTTTTTTAATTTGCGATGAACAAAATATTAGTGTACCAACGCTTTTTCACAAATTAAATTGTGCGAAAAAACTACGTATTTACATAAAATCTGATATTTACAACACCAAACTGCTGTATAACGGTATAAAAATAAATTTTGGACCCCAAACTGTATCTTTACTGCACAAGATTCCATTTATTTTATACTGTTTACGTTGTTTTATATACTGTTAAGAGAGGCAGCAGAATTTCGGTTTCGACAACTGTTTTCGTTGTGGGCCAACAAACCCTATTTATTTGACAACATCACCACAATGCTTATATCAGTCAAGTGACGTACTTTAACCCCAATAAGTGTTAATGCAAGTACAGCTTGCTATTATTGTGGAAAGTGCTTTAGTCGAAAGTTATGGGACCCCTGCTCAGCAGTGAGTACGTTGCATTGATACAGATAAAGTTATTAATAGGAATAAAGCGTTTCACAGACGGCGAAAACAACATTTGTAAACAGGAAACAGCATTAAGATTTGCCAGATCCGAGCACGATCGCAGTACACAGTTTTTAAACAATGACAACACAACAATTGTTTTCACGTAGAAAATGTGCACTATCACACGGACATTTCATGGGTAACGAAATTTATTTTCCTAGTTTGGTTCTTGCAAGCTGTTGCTATTTGCAGTGGTGCTATTTGACGTTGAGTGGCGTTTGACCTTTATTGTTGACGTCGCCACAATCTAGCACGTCTATGAAAGGCTTTAAATAAAACCGAAAAAATAGAAATTGAAATAGTACTACAAGTAATAACAACTACGTTAAAATCTATCTTAAGGAAGTTAAATGTTCAGTCAAATCAAAATTTTTATTAAAGTATTAAGATAATTTGTAATTGACTTTTAATATGCAACAAAGCAAGACATATCTACAATCCATTTATTATTAAGTAGGAAAAATACTAAAAATAAAAATTATGCTCCTTTTTCATGTGGATGCCGAAAATTTTAAAATTAGTACATATCGCGACAAGTTGAACAAAATGGCGGCCGTCCGCGCAGATCTACAGGTTTTCAGCGGAGACGGGAAGCGCAGACCGATTGTGGCGCAGGCGTCGCTACGTCGCTATAGTTAAGACTTCAGTTGAGACCGTAAAATCGACTTCCGCGCATTATTCAACTTACGTGTTGCGATCTGTACAAACTTTGTCAGCTATAGCTTTATAAAATTTTATAAAACTTATATGAAAACCGCGCCACGCTCAGTGGGTGTAGCTCTTTAAAACTTTCGACATCTAGTCACAGCGCATAATCTATAAAACATTCGAAGTATTCAATAAATTTCTTGTTTGGCGAAATAATTTAGTTACAAACTAACACTTGAGTACAATGTTTATTAATTGTTTTTCTATTGCAAAAAATCAATCATCATTCAATTTTGTTCTGAAATGCCGCAAAAAATACATCAAGTAGCAGCTACAATTTGCTGAGAACAGTCAATACGATGTGTTGTACTTTTGTTTCCAAATGATAATACGAAGTTGCATCAAAAAGGCTCTCGTTATTCCCAGCGACATTAATATTTCAACAGGCACCATTATACAATAGTCAACGTTTGCATGGTAATAGACACATCAAAGGGACGCGACATCGCAACGCCAAATATTTGTTTAGTGGGTTGTAGAAGAGTAGGACATCCGTGTTGATGTTGTAGACATGCAGACCCAGCCACAGGAGTGAGAATTCATACGACCGCGTTAAGGCCCATTTGCACAGAGAGAAATTATCGAAATATAAAAAAGTTTTTTCATATAACCATTCCCGGTTACCAAACTTCCACGTGCGCGACAATCGCCTTAAATATTGAACATCTTTGTAAATAGAACAATATAATAGTAATTGGCGAACGCGAATGGCAAATCTCGTACCCAAAACGGATCAAACCGATTTGTAAGATACAAGTTTAATGAATCACACTGTTCCGTGTGAACCAAACATCATGATAGTAAAACATTGTGAGTCACAATGTTTTACTATCATGATGTTATTTTTTTTTTAATGTTATTACTCCACTAGTCTGTTATAATTATTAATAACAAAGAAATAGCGGGCGATAAACTCTCTCCAAGTAAATGGCCCTCGCATGAAGATATTACAGTACCAGAGATGGGCAAGCGGTTGGGTTGTAACCCGGCGCTATGTTAACGCTAGGTTTAACGGGTTAAGAACCATTAATGCCCGAAATCGAGGGCAAAAACTATTTACAACTAAATATTTGTAAATCGAGTATTTTGTTCAAATGTAATGATATTATTATTTCAAAATGTTTAATGCTTGCTTATATATTTTGCTTTTCAATTGAGTCGATTCGCTTGAAAATCGTATTGAAACTATTCGATAGCGACAAAACCTCGTTATCGTATACATTTGAACCGATTTTTAACCGACTTCAAAAAGTCCTCCTTTTTGAAGTCAATTGTTGTCAATTCAACTGTATTTCTTTTGTATGTTACTCGATAACTCCGATAATTTGTGAAAGGATTCTGACGATTATTTCTTGTTAGTTACCTTGGTAGTGGTTCCATTTAAATTTGAAAAAAATATTCCACCTCCAACGGTTTCGCGCACTTTCCGGTAACCGATTTCAATAAAATTTTGAAAATAGACGCACTTGGTACTTGGCGTAACGGGCTGGTAGCCACAACTCGACGTCAAGGCGCCTATTTTGCGTGTGAAAATAGACGTAATTCTACGAACTTTGAGGTCGGTTTTTTAATACTCTGTTTTGAGATTATCATAAAAATCGAATCGTAATGCGTATCCTTAGTAGGAAACGAGAGTTTACAGGATTGCAAGGCGTGTGGAGTGCCTCTCGTTTGTCTAAAAAAAGATTTTTTAAATCGAAATTTGTAATAAGTACGAAATTATACTATATTCCTTATTATTTTAAGCGTATACGTTTTCGCCCACAATTTTGGACAGAAATGGGTTACAACCGTCGCTTTGGGTAAAAACCCTGTTGGGTTGATAGGGTTCTAACCCGCTGCCCATGTCTGCATATACCGTTCCGAACGCGAAGTGTGTTTAAATCCATTATCGTGCGATCCTGTTGCAAGGGCCTGAAGTGCATGTTGAGTAGTGGTTCCTGCGAAGGCCGCGCTGTTCTGCGATGTGACCCCGGCCGGGCGCCGGCGCCGCTCAGTAGTTGCGGAAGCTGCGGTTGGGCTTGAAGCCGGCGGAGCCGCCCGGCGACGAGTTCAGGAACAGCTCGATGTAGCGGTGGTCCATGTTATTCTTGTCGCGCCGCATCGCCTGCAACATTGCATTTTACGCTTTCACAGTACACAGCCCACTCTTGGGCACAGGCCTCCGTACACAGAACAGCCCTACCGCCTACCACAGAGGCCCAATGCAAGTAGGAGACTCGATATTTTTCTGAAGTTTTAAATACGTTTTTTCGGTTACATGATTTACAGAATTTTGTTTCTCCGAAAACCTTTAGATTTTATTTAATAGATTTTGTTTCATTTGTCCGAAAACACGATACGGTTTTTTTCATTTCACTATATTGACAAGTTATTCTTTTCACGATTTTTATTTCCCCAACAAACCGTTTGACCAACGTATCTAATTGAATATTTTTATTTTGTAAAAAAAACGATATCCATGACACATTTTTGTTATATTATTTCTTATTATAGGTACTAAAAGTATTAGAACGTGTCGCACAATACAACTCGTCAAATTAAAGCACCTCGCATCTTTAGAAAATATGGAAAACGCGATGCAAGTTAATTTGATCGAGTTGTAGTCACTCGCTTCGCTCGTTTGGATCGTGCTGCTTTTTCATATAATAACCTAACCTAAACCTACTGGCGGGGGTCGTACCGTCTAGGTAATGCAAACACACAAAAAACAGGCTCTGGTACTCTCCTCGATTCAGTTATAAGTTATTTATTGAATACTCAAGACCATTGTTTTAAATTACAGTTCAAATGACAGCAAAAACATAGCACAATGGTATGACGAAAATTACGTAAGTGGACTTGCTGTGCACCAGCAAGGTACAATCCAGAATTTTGGAGCTGTATGGTAAAATTGTATGGTGGTGCAATTTTATCTAAATCTAGTAATTATGTCGAAACGAATTTTCAGCAACCTAGATTATATGGAAAACAGACAACAAACATAATTAGACCAAATAAACTTCTGCCCAAAGAATACGCATGTGTAATAATTATTCTAACAATAGGTTTTCGGACAAACGATACTTCTGCTGTAAGACATTTCTGTGTTGCAAATTTATATCAAAACTGTCATCACCCTAATGAAAAAAAGTCGAACCGTTTTCGAACTAATGAAATTCGGAAAAAAAAAATTCGAGTTTGTGATAGGTTACCCGTTTTTTCATTTAGTTTGAAACAAATAACTCTCGCAGTTGCTTGTTAGGTACAGTCTCTTTTTTAAGACGGAGTAAAATGACATTTGTAGGGTTGCCAGTTTTCATTACATTTCAAATAGGTATGTAGTCGTTGTCGATAGTTTTATCGATAGATTGTGAAAGATAAAATTTTGCCAAAAATGTCTAAATAGTGAATGTTACGACAAAGACGTTCTAATTATGAGTCATTGCGATAATGCCTTCATCCTTATTTTGACAGTTGGCCTACTAGTATCGAGATCTTGTTGATATTATTTGTTTGAGGTGCAAGACAAACCTAAGGTACGAATCCCTAGGATTGTTAAGATCCGTCAAGAAACAGGTGCTACAAGTGAGTGACTATAATAAGAGAAGGATACATACTCTCATGGCGTCCTCGTGGCACTCAAACTCCACATCGGCCTCGCCCGACGGCCGTCCGCTGTTGTCGTACAGGATGTTGATGTTCACCGGCCGGATCGGCTTGAAGAACTGCAAAAAAATCACCGTCGTTTCATTGAAATTAATACGATCCATTCACCCAAAGCGATTAATTTCATATACTATGTTACTTAAAACTAATTAATCCTTACAGGGCGCGTTCCCATTATGCCGTGACGACAAATAGCCGTTTAGTTTAAAGTGTCATAGCTTGTATATTTAAATGAAGTTGTTCACACACAGAACAACACGATTAACTGTCGGTGACGACTTTTTTTGACGTTAGGGCGCGTTCTCATTATGTCGTAACGTTTTGTTTATCGTTGGACAACTATCGCGTCTAGCCTGTTCCCATATCACGACTATCTGTCGTGACTGTGTCCTGGACGATTATTTTTCTTTTTGTTATTCTTCGTTTGCATCCCATTCAGCCTTTTTAAAAAGCAATACATTGTTATAATTTCATCTTCATCCATTTCACACGGGGGCGAACACACGCTACTGCCTTCCAAAAGAACACAGCGACTGCAGTGCATCAAACGACTCTGTCGTGCAAACGACAAGGTGGCTGCCGCGAAACGATAAATTGTCGTCACGATCTAGTGAGAACAGCTATAGTCGCGATAGTCGTTCAACAACAAAATAATTAATTGACCATTTCGATCCATATCATAATTTTTTGCACATTTGTTCGGTACGATTCCCAGGTGAGGCAAGCAACTTTTTAAAAATCAATGAATGAGAGCAATGTTACTTACTTTTAAAAATAAAATATTGTCGATATGAATCATAATAGACTTTCTATAATATTTAAATTACTTTCCATCGCATACCCATGAGACATCCTGTTTATATCATAATGCTCGACGCTAAAATGTTAGAATGCCGTACGATCATAAGTCTTGTACGATGTCAGAGTTGAGGAATTTTTGTGCTGTACGACTTCCTTGATAATTTAAGATAATACGACGGACTCTTGGCTACTTCTTCTGATTTTATCTATAAAAGTCGAAAGTATTTTCAAAAAACGCCCATCTTTCGCCTTGGTGTAACGTGATTACTTACATAGGCGATGTCCTGCGGCGAGGCCTTGAAGGGCAGCCCTCGCATGTGCACGGAATGGCATGAGCCGCCGCCACCGCCGCCACCGCCACCGCCGCGAGAACGGAACCCACCACGGCCGCCGCCGTATCCGCTGCTGCCTGCAACCACGCGTTAACATTTCATTATTGTGCATGGGAATCATCGCCTTAAGCTGACGTAGTAATGATCATTTTGCTTAATCGAAAGCTTTTTATTAGTTAAGTTGAAAACTAGGATTAAATTATATAAATAAAACTGGGTCCCCGCGGCAAAGTGCCCAAGATGCTAGCAGTGTTCCTCTTTTGTATGACTGTGCTAATGCGTTGGGCAAGGTAGCTGCCGGCGCTTGGGTTTCCCAGACAGTCTATTAATTTTTTCGATAAAATTTTGTACAGATGGAGGGCACCGGGACCGCACGGGCCAAGGGCTTCGACTTCAAAGGCTGTTTACAGGTGATCAGGGCCAAGGTCCTGCTACTTATTCATCTTTATTCTTTCCGCCAGCTCAGCTGCGGAGCCAGCCCTCTTGCTGGTGTGCTGGAGATAAGATGGGGCAGGTGTGTCGGCACACGTGGCGTCCCACAAAAGTGCCCGGCCCATAATCCAAGGGGTGAGAGTCATTTTGCTTTGTTTTGTAGTTGTACGTAAATACAATGAAAAAGATTTAATGATCCTTTAAATGAATTTATTAAAAATAAGTATATACATTTTCAATGATATACTCTACGTACGGGCGTATAATTTTATTTTTAAATAATTCATTTAATATCAAGTTCTTACGTTTTCACGACACTGTGACCCGTTTCTTGCAATATTCATTTGCATGCAATTCGAATATTACACATTGCAATACCCCAACAGGGTTAATACACAATTTTACAGTTATTGTTATTATTACTTTAGTACAAATTACATATTTTAGCAATAATAAATAAACTACAGGCTTGAGTTAAGAAATTGTTTATTCATGGCATAATACTTATCTACGAAAATCGTGGAAAAATATCTATTTTTTATAAAAATGTTTTATTCGTTCATTTTAAAGGGCGTAGTACAGGGGCAGATGTTTCCTTTTCGGCTTGTTAGGGCCTGTGCTAGGAAACATCGCTCTTCTATAATATTAATAGTAATCTTGCTCTTATATTATTTTTAGATGTTTAAACAGACTACCTTAATAACTACTATAACTGGTGTTACAATACAAATTTCACTAATTACATTAACTTTTAACTTTTCAGACTAAAAATAGATTAAAGTGTTAGTGTGTGTGAATTCTACGATGTGTATATGTGTCTGTAAGTGTGTAATGTGTGAATGTGTACATGTGTGTCATCCATTCATAAGAACAATATCCGAAATGATACATTGTCATACCATATTAAATAGTATCATTTAATATGGCATGCTACTTTGGAATGCAAGAATAATAGCCTCATAGCTATTGCCGCAAGATGGCAGCCAGCATAATGAATGAATTCGCAATTTTTTTTGCTGATATCATATGATGATGAATCCCACAAAGGAAAATGCTACTGCCCTGTAATTCAGTTCTTCTTTTTCTACGACATCATGACGGGAACGAATTTGTGTAAATACCGTAAAGAAGTTTACAATACTTTACAATCGATAAAATGATGTACAATAATTTCCTCATTTGTATAATCGATTATACAATTTGCTGTGGTTTGATTTTTAATCAAGTTCATTTACCGACATTATCGATAGCTAAAACAGAAACGATATCAATGACCAGCCAATATGTACTCTATTGCATGTTAATTGCAACGCATTAAAACGAAATTTTCTTGAAAACCGCTCTCGACTCTAAATTGAAGATCAGCAAACGAGGGAAGACCGAAATCGAGCTAAAAACCAGTCTAAACACCTAGAGTAAGAATTTACCCCAGTATATTGAAGAGAGGTTGTTTAAACAACCAATAAAAATGGGTTATTCAGGCATCTCCTATGAACGCAACCATAATGGCTTTTCAAAGACAAGACTTCTCGCTGCTTTGAATGTTGGCGACTCACTCGTTAATAAAGAAATCTATCAACACGTTGTCACCGAGCCCTCATAGTCGCTTTTTTGTAAAAGCGCGGAGGAAGATTGCTTCTCAAAATAAATGTCAAAGATTCGAATATCTGCCGTGTCATGTATATTTTTGTAAATATTTAGTAGCCAATATCCCTGAATAACGGCGATGAAGCCTGCATGTTGAAGAAGATTTAGAACTCTTTACGAAAGTGTAAATTCAAGAATTCGCATGTCCGAGTGTAACGGACCTAATTCAAGTAGCAATAGAGGTCTTGATGAAAGAGCTCGTGCAGGGAAGTGCTGCCACCTTACCTATTTCTGCCGCCAATAAGTAACGTGAGCATTACTGCGTTCCGGTTTCGAAGGGTAAGAATGCTGGTGAAATTACAGGCATATGGGACTTGTCAACTTATGTCTCAAGGTGTCGGGTGCTGTGGCCCCTCAGATCTTTGTGATTTAAAGCTCTGAGTGGTATTGCAACTGTTATTGACAGGCGTGTAGCTTACCATCAGCCGCACGATCTGTTAGTCCCGTCACTTAATATTACACGTATGATCACTTGTGGTTTTAAAATAACAAGGTTACAAATTTCATAGCTCTTGTCACACGACACTAACGTCTACGACATCAGTCTGTGATTTGTCATAAAGAAGCTGCAAATCTATAAAATACTGTAGCCACAATAAATGTTAGCAACTGTTTGCAAAAGACACGGAAAAACACGAAAAAAATATTTTTTTGTTGTTTGTGCGCGTAAATAACTATTTTTATATTTTTCTAGTGTTTTAAATTAAATATTTCTTAATTATTATTCATCGAAGAAACAACTTAATAAAGCACCTATAACTTGTTTAATAATGTTATTCAATAAGCTTCCCAGATCTATCCGCTATAAATAAACCATCAGGCGCGCGACTTCTTCCTCCGGTCACTTAGTTATTTATAAAAAAATGCTCTCATAGTTCAATTTATGTATTTTTTTATTATTTTATTTATATATTTAGTAGTATCTTTTCTTCATTTGTGTATGCGTATTCTGTTGCGCCCTCAATTTTATCTTACAGTTTCTCCTGTGAACCGAAGTTTGCTTGGAAGAGATTGCAATGAGACTGTCAGTGGTGCATGTCATTTTTATTTTAATAATACTATTATATATTTGTCCATATGCAATATAGTAGTTTATGTGACTGTTACATAATGAAAGGCGTTAAAGTTCGAGTGTAGGTTTTTTTTTAATAAAAATATCATACGAGTGTTTTAATGCCTAATTATGTACAGTTACATACATTGCTTTATCTAAGCTCTCTGTGATGTGTTTAGGAACCGCAAGTTACGAAATGGCGGCAAATAAAAACTTTTCGCACACATGTCACACAACCGTAGTTTTTATTTAATACAAACTAGAGTCGGCCCCAACTATCTTAACGTTCGATATCAAGTAACGTGTGAAATTTACAAAATTGTTTGCTATTGAAATTTCATTTCGAATAAAACTTAATCTCGACTGATATTAGAATTGAGGTCGAATCAAATTGTTTTGTTTTTCAGAGATGTTCGAAATTTGAATGTATTCGATGTTATTATGAAACAAATTTTTTTTAATTTATTAAGGCTTTGGCAAAGCCATCAGCCTAAACATGAAGTTTAAATATGTTTCTGTAAATATGGCCGCCACAAAGAGGATAGGCAATTTGAGGCGGCGTGCTTGGATTGACTCGGGATTCCTTAAAACGGGCCGATACGGGTATTTTATTTCGAGATTCGTATAATTTCGCGTTTTAATCTTCGATTAAGGCACAATAGCACTATCCTATTCCACTTTAAACTAGATTTCACAAAATAATTGAAAGTCAAAATAAAAACGACACTTCCCTCCAAAAGGTCCAGAGCGAATCACCTTATGAAGCAATAACATTTTCACAGATAAGAAATTTGTTCTAACAAAACAGTTTATCTTCACGCTGGTCGTAATTTGCGGTTTTTGAACACATCACAGAGGGTTTATGATATCGTCGCCTTACTTTCTCAAACTCGTATCTTAAAGCACAAAGATACTGAAATGCAAAAGATGGCCTGTATATACAAATGTTGCAGGCTGTTTTCACATCATATTTCCTCCATATTTAAACCTATTCTTAAAATAATGCATCTAAACTAACACTATTGATAAGAAATTAAAAACAAATAGAAAGTTTTGCACTCTCCTGAATAATCACTTATAAGATACGAGTTTGTGAAAATAAGGCATCGATATGTGTGTAGATAAAAGAATGTTTATATTGTATTGAATCTAAAAGTGCTTCTTAAACTTACCGTATCCACCGCGCCCTCTCGCACCAAAACGTCCTCCCGGGAACCGATCGCCGCGGTCGTACGGTGTGGGTCGGTAGCCCCGAGATGATCGGAAGCCATCCTCCATCCTGGCGCTGTACGATCGGACCTCGTCAGCCGAGCTTAGGAACACCTCTATGTACCTGCGGTGAAGAAACAAATAAATTGGTATGGTTGGCACGTTTGGCGCGTTTCGTGATGCTGTCTCTTCCAAATATGTGAACGCATATTGCATCGATTTCTTAAGTTTTTGCGATCGCGAAACTTTGGAAATAATAACATTTTTTGGGATCTAAATCAAAAGCAGCAGCAGAGCTCCTTGTGAGCTGCCACCTTACCTATTTCCGCTTCCAAGCGGTAATGAGAGCATTCCGGTTGTGAACGGTAAGGGTGCTGGTGAAATTGTAGGCACATAGGACTTGTCAACTTATGACTCATGGTGACGGACGCAGTGGCAGTGCCCTTAACATTTTTTTCTGTGTGGCACTGCAACTGTTATGGACAGGCGTGTCGCCTACCACCAGGCACACGACTTGTTCGTCCCGTCACTTGAATATCACAATTTTTTTCCGAACAAACCAATGTTTCAGGCTCTTCGGAACTGTAAAGAACCCGAAACGTTGGTTTGTTTGAAAAAAACAAATATACGCGATTTAAATCCGAAAAAATATCTCATTTCCAATAACATTGTATTATTTGAATGTATGACTCTATATTTGAACAGTTGTTGCTAAAAAAGGTTTCGCTAAATCGATGAATTAAATACCGCGAACAGAAGACTTCAACAGTTGATGAAGGACGCTTGTCCAGTGTCAATATTAAAATTGGAACAGACAGCATTGAAATGTAGTTCAAATAGTGAAGTACAAAATCTAACTTTGCAATGGTCCATTCCTAATTCGCCGTCTTGCAACTTTGCCAAACACCTTTTCCGTCGTATTTACCTTCCGCCATTGCTTTGTTCTAGGAGTTCGGCAAAATTGGAACCGGGCGAAAGAGGACTGAACCTAGAATGTGTTTTGAAACAGGAATTATACATCTGTAATGAAATGTTATCCTATAGGATACCACAAGGCACTAAATTAACGCCCGCGCCGTCTTGGTCTTCGTCCCGCACCCGCCCCGCCGCCCGCGCCCACTCCGCTGCGCCCACCTTCGCACTCAAAAATCTCTGCACTCCCATGCTGCTCAAATTTGACATGTTAATGGTTTGACTAAACCACCAGTTCATAGTCCTTTGAAGAGACCAATGGAAGCGATCGACAGAGTGCTAGCGGGAAAAACAGTACTATCATAATTATATAATTTATCGATCAGTACAACTAATAGATGTAAATTATAACGAAAACTAATTTTTTAAATCACGAAATAGAAAATTGTTTTAAGTTATGTAGTCACTTCGTCGTAATAATATGACAGAGTGACATAAAAGCTATTATAATACATAAAGAAAAATCATACCCACTATATAAAAAGGAATTATGAAATTACATACTATAAGATCATAATAATTTTAAATGTTGCTAAGAAAATTACAATAAACATGGACCAAAGTGTATCAATACTAAGTAGGTCCTTATTAATTAGTAAGTATACATCTGAGTTGCACATAATTATAAGAAGTAAGTAACTGTAAAGTTTTAAATGCCGTAACACTTAATCAAAAATCTACATACCTAATACATTGAAACTACGTGTGATAGAAAAATCTGAATATTTTTAAAATTTTAGTGTCCATTTGAACTGGCAGTTTCCATCATTTTTAACACCAATAACATACCAAAGAAGAAACAGCATGTAACAATGCAGTTTTAACCAATTCATTTCTGCAATAAAGTTAAATACATCCCAAAAATGTAACTAATTTTACCCCTCCCGAATGCTGACGGTCTATTTAGTTTATCGAAGGAAATTACCCAAATTCAATATCAATGAAATATCACCAAAGGATTCTGGAACATTCTGGAAATTTCTCGAGAATGCAAGAATGTTCTTTCAACAAACCCTCAGACCGGCAACACAGAAGGTCCCAAAGCCCACTACACCAATATAATATTGTTGTCGTGGTTTGTTCTTTACAAACGCCGCGGTGAAGATCTTAGGCAATGTTGGTCCCAGATCTATCCCTAGAGTAATACCTAAGTTCCTCCTTGTCTAATGGTCCCATTTGCTGTACAAAAATATCCTTAATAAATACCCTATTCCTGTTACATCTTGGATTCAACATCCAAGCCCAAATATTTCGTCTCAGGCCCCATTTAAATATTAATTCACTAAATGATTCAAACTTCTTCATGCTATAAAAATATGCATCAGTTTTCATTATAAATTCAACGAATTGCCAAGGCCATTGTTTCTTAAAAAGGAGTATTGGCTACAGGAAATGAAACTATATTTCCGAATTTAAATTGCGTACATTTGTTTAATTTATTCTAATTTCCATTATGAATTAATGTCGTTAAAATAAAATAATTTGTAAAACATAATGTAGCGTAAATTGGAATATTTCTTTGCAAAATTAAAAATTAAGGTATTTAATAACTTTTGTAACTATAGTGAAAAAATAGGGTGGTTTGCATTAATATTAGACATAACTGGTTGATGACCGTACCACCTCGCTCAACCGTGACCATGGGACCTGTAAAAGGCCAGAAACGTTGGTATGTTTGAAAAAAACAAATATACGCGATTTAAATCCGGAAAAATAGTTTCGTAACAATCGCGAAAACCTAAGAACTCGATAAGAGTATTGCCTTTCGGGCAAGTCTGAATGTGTCTCCAACATTGCCAAAGCCGGTCACCGCAGGTATACCAAACCACATGTGAATGAATGTCCCCCCACCTGTGTCCTATTTTCTCCCTGTCCCTGCTGAGGGCCTCCTGGGCGCTAGCCTTGTCAGTGAAGTGTACGAACGCCTCGCCCGAGGCCCGCCCCGTGTGGTCCGATAGCAAGTGCACCCCGTCCGGGGCTACTGGTAACCCTGCCCCGGTAATATAACAGGTTATATGCTTAGCGTTCTAGGAATTTGCTGGCTGCAGTCAGTCGTGTGTTAATGGCCTGGTATATTGTTTGTAGTGTAATTGAATTATTAATAGAGTGTAATGTGGTATAACAAAAATTTTAATAACCTAACTTTTCAACATGTGGACCCAAGCCTCAGTCGACCATACTGGTCGGAATTAACAGTCTGGCGAGGGTCCAATAATATAAATACCCTGGATCGTGGCTAATAGACTCCTGGGAAAATGATACCGAGATCTGTGTGCGTATAGAAGTTGCCCGGGCATCATTTGAAACAATGAGGAAAGTTTTAAGCAGCCGGCAGCTATCTATTAAACTCCGCATTAGGCTCTTGCAGTGCTACATCTGGCCAGTCGTTCTTTATGGATGCGAATCATGGACCATAAAAGGAGACCTCAGGAAGAAACTTGAAGCGTTCGAAATGTGGTGCTATCGTAGAATGCTCCGTAACAGTTGCACGGACCAAGTCACGAATGTTGAGGTCCTTAAACGTATGGCGAACAAGGTGGAGTTGATAAGCACTGTCAAGCAGCGGAAGGTTGCCTATTTGGGTCATGTACTGCGACATGACAGATATCACCTATTGCACACTATAATAATGGGCAAAGTAGCTGGGAAGGAGAAGGTTGGAAGAAGGAAAATGTCATGGCTTCGTAACATCAGGTAGTGGACATCGGCGGACAGCGGCATCAACACCGTGGAACAACTGTTCAGGCTAGCTCTGGACAAAGAAAGATATAGAAAACTGACTGCCGACCTTCAATAATGGAGAGGCACTTGAACAAGAACTTTTCGACACCCCCCTGGTGTTTGGTCAGAGTGGCTGACTATGGCCACGACCCTCTCCTTACCCAAGTCCTGACCTTGCACATCAGTGGGATGTAGAATGGATTTATGAGTATGAACTGCTTTATCGATACATTTACATTGTCAATTAAAGAAACTGTTATAATCAAAGCTTGTGGAATGTGTAGTGCAAGATTGAAGAAGTAGCTGTGACACTGAAATCGGTATTAATAAACAGTTCTGAAATCAGGTCACACATATATTATACTAAACGCAAACTAGGACGATTCCTGTACGAGTAACACTTCATTTGATGTTTGAAAAGGGATGAGGTAAAGTCAACAGATTTTTAGTGTATTTGATATTTGAAGCGAAAGTTCCCTCTTATAGTTTTATTTTTCTGACATATTCTAAACGATGTATAGATGTGCGAGCTGTTTTGTATTATATTCAAGGTAATTGAAAAAAAAAACATTTATCATATTATCATTAATTTACAGGTTTCAAAAAAGTAATGACACTGACATATTAATTCATTGCCTACGATTAAAATTCATACTTTAAGAATGAAACACGCAACATAAATTTGTTCATTAGATTATAGAAAACTTTTTATCGATATATCTCATCTCTAGCAAATACAGCGTGATGAAACAAACTTTGCGATTCGCTCTGGGCCTTTTGGAGGGAAAAGTGTCGTTTTTATTTTGACTTTCAATTATTTTGTGAAATCTAGTTTAAAGTGGAATAGGATAGTGCTATTGTGCCTTAATCGAAGATTAAAACGCGAAATTATACGAATCTCGAACTAAAATACCCGTATCGGCCCGTTCTAAGGAATCACAAGTCAATCCAAGCACGCCGCCTCAAATTGCCTATCCTCTTTGTGGCGGCCATATTTACAGAAACATAATTAAACGAAGACATGGCTCAAAGGACTTGTATCCAAGCCAAAATTATTAATAAAAAAAAGTAAACTTTCCACGATGTCGTAAAAACTTTATGTTTTTGAAAAATAAAGTTTTTCCTTTTTGATTTGGTGTTATTTTTACTTTAATGCATTTACTTAAATAAAGGCTATTCATTTAAAAGTGAAGATCATAAAAATAGTTTATGAAATACGTAAATTAGTGCAGTTACAATGTTATATTGTACTGATTTTTATGAACTGTGACAGGGACCATCCTAGATCATTTTTAGTATAATCATTTATCTCGAGTCATGGCACTTGATTAATTGAGGGTCGTATTCTAGAACTCTACTCAATGCTCAAGTCAGGATTGCACTGGAAACACAAGCACTGGAAATACGACCCTAATGGCAAGGACTTGTGTATGATTTTCAGTGCTCACTGCAATACTCAGTAGAGTAGTAGAGCAGTAGAGTTCTGGAATACGACCCTAAGAGTCGTATTCTAGAACTCTACTCAATGCTCAAGTCAGGATTTGAGTATGGTTTAAAGCACTCGAAATCATACTCAAGTCCTTGCCATTAGGGTCGTATTTCCAGTGCTTGTGTTTCCATTGCAATGACTTGAGCATCGAGTAGAGTTCTAGAATACGACCCTAAGACTCAAATGGATGTATTATATATATTAATAAGTTAAATATTGGTAAACGATACTTCATCTAGGAGTAGTCGTTAATGTGTACTCTAGTGTACTAATAAATATTAGTAAAAACAATTAAGTCTCAAGTAATTCTACGCTTGAGATGGATATATTAATTTGGTCTGTAGACTGGCAGATGTGGATAAATAATTGTGCATATGAAATTCATATTTTTGTACAATATTTTGTATGATAACCAATGATCGGAATGGATGGAGTTACACAACCTAAAAATCGAGTAACGTAAAGAATAATATCGACATTCCCTTTTACAAGTCCCGGAACTTTTAAAAACTGATTGTTATATTAACATATGCGTATTAGACAAATATTTGTGTAAATTGCCGATAAATTAATATTTTTTATTGAGTGTTTGTCACAAATTATTCTCTCAAAAAATAATATTATAGGTGGGACTTATTTAGCAAAAGGCTTTTGTTTTTTGTTTTGCACGAATATTCGCTGTAGAAACAAGTAACTGCTGTCTCTTTCACACAGCACAGAAAGCAGTCACTGCTATATCTTTCACACGGTACGAAAACAAGATAAGAAACACAATAGAAACCATTGCCGTTACAAAATATTGGCGGTTTCTATTGTTCGACATCTTGTTTTTTAACACAACAGCAGTTGCTAACACTATTCAACAATGTTAGTTTAATTTTCAAACACCTATCTTCCCAGGATCTAGACAAGTCTTCAATTTTTTTAAGGATATTGCACATTCACCAGATCACCCGGAAACCAATCTGAGATATATTTCTCCTTTTGAGAAAACAATTAATTTAGTAAGTCAGTATGTATAAACATTATCATTATTATAATGAATGCATACGTATAAATAAAACTGTATTATACGAAAATACCTATATTAATTTTATTCTTCGCCTAAATTTTATATACATTGATACCGCAATATGAATCCCGGGATTTATTTGGTCATATCACGAAATGGGTATGTCCATACTAAGAAAACGTTCAAACTTTAGGTAAATTAACTCCCACAATTCTGATCACTGATGATAACAGTATTACGTAGTGACGACTTGACTGCAGCGTAGCCATTATTAACTAAACCCCAATGGTTATGGATGAATATTTTGGGTTTCTCAGGTTTTGTAATCTCAACAAAATTATCTTGAAGAGTCGTTGTTGGACTTACATTGGTAAGAGTCTGTTCTGTTTCCAATTCCAAACATAAAATACAAAGAAACAATAATCAATTCGTAAAATTACTTATTTCAATACTAACTGAAAATAGTACCAGGGCCTCATGAAAATATATTAAATAAATTATCAATCTATTGCAGTTTTGTTTACAAAGTACGCTTGAAATTATCAAATTGATCAATCAGTAAGTACTTATTTATAAGGCAGATTTTCCCGAAGAGAATGATTAGGAAACTTTAGGGGTTGCGATTTGTAAAAACATAATATTAGTTCACATTTATCACTTCAAGGTTTGTTTCAAATATGGTAAATAAATGGTTTAAATATCGTAGATAGAATCTGAATGAGCTAAATAGATCACTATCATGTTTTATGTCGTCCAAGTATAGCTGTTTTTATTGCATGATAGTTATAGCATCACAAATGGCAAATTTTGAATATAGGACAGTGGTTTGCATTACATGTCCAACCTCAAATGAAATAAGAGTAAAGACATGCTGAGTCTTCTGAAACACAGTTGTCACCTGATGTACATACAAAACTCACTCCTGGATAGATATATGCAGCGACAGATAAAAACCAAAAACAGTAATAAAAAATTAAGTTCAGAAACTTTTACATTCTTTAATTCCGTTTGTCAAGTCCAGACTTGGTGATACCAAAAGATTTGTTGTTCGTCATAGAGATGTCGAGCTGTACCGGCCCCGAATAAGCTGTCCTTACAGCAACAATACCATTACATTGTAGATGTTGATTAGAATCAATTAGGTAAAGCTAGTCACATTAGACCACATCTGGATGTTCACGGGCAATGGTGGTATCACTCAAGTTTTTATGACATACCACTCATTAGAAATGTGGTATTTACAGCAAAAATTTATAAATACTTTTCATTGCACTCTGGCTATCATTACATGTTATCATAAAATAGACAATAAAATTTTAAATATTGCAAACAGAACAGACTTTTCAATACAACAAGAATATTTCCAAAAATAAATATACATACCGTTGAAGAATTGAATGATTTCCTCTTTGGAGCACCCAAAAGGCAAACCTCTCAATTTGACAATGCCCATATCGTCAGACAGGTTTGGGATACCTCCAAAACCATTTTCGTTTTGGCGCATTGCGTTTAGTGCCCATTCCATGTCTTGGCGATCTGTTGAGAAGACTGGAAAGAAATATATAGATAAGGTCATCAAAAAGACACATTAGGGAGTTTGCAATATCTTTTCATCATCAACGCATTATGCATGTGACTTAGGGACTCCAACATGTTTTCCAAAGGTCATGGAACCTTCTTCAACACATTTCATCACAATACTTTCCTTTATCTTTAGCAAAATGTAACTCAGTTTAAGTCGCAGTTTCACAAGGATTCAAACCTGTCTATTGAGAAACAAACTTTCCACTGGGTTACTACTGCTAGTTGTAAATAGCTTCAGTTAAATTTAAATCATAAATGTAATGGGAAATCTTCGTTGTTTGTACATTATTAATTATATATATATATATTAACTGTCTCCGTGGCCGAACAGTTACCATGCCGGACTGCCACGCAGAGGTCCCAGGTTCGATTCCCGGGCCGGGAGAAATATTTGTATGGCCTACATTTATTTCTCTCGTGAGTTTGGGTGTAATTTGTGGTTGTCTATGTGTGTCCATGGCACCCGCGACACAGGGTTTCCTAGTGCGGGGCTATGTCGAGTGTGTGCGTTATTATTATGACTTTCTGTTATTAGTGTCCCATTGCAAAGCAAAGGTCTTCAAAATCTTATGTATTATTTACTAATAGTACAAGTAGTGTTTCAAGGTAAGAGATTCGTTGTACAATGATCTCATCCTCGTGTCAGGTGTTTTTGTGAGTGAAAATTTAATTTTACCATTTTCTTCTAAGTACCACTATTTGGGTACTAATGTTTATTTTACAAAAATTGTTTTGAACTTTGTTGATTATAAAAACTGGTTTTGGTTGTTTAGTTATTACTTTGTTAAGTGACACTTAGTGAATTGTCCCTTATCATAACTGTACACACGCCAGCATATAAGCTACACATTGACGTGTCTTATTCCGTTGCGATGGAGGTGATTTTCGAACAAAAATATGTTGAATTGACCTCTTCTTGAATTGACCCCTTCTTGAAATGACCCCATTTCTTGAAATTACAATTTTATTTTTAATTATAAATTGTTTTTTAAAATTTTACTTTCGCCAATTTAGAAAAATGCCCAGACATTTATCTAAACTAAAAATGAAAATGAAATGTTTTATTTGCCTATTTTTGACAAATGGTTGCGAAATCCAGTTGCTATGGATGGAGAGATGTTACCTTCCAGGGTGATAATATGCAATATCTAATGTATAATATACTTAAAGGCCAATCGTCAAACTTATGGTAATCCGAATGAGATATTATATAGAGTAATCCTAATCCGAAGCTAAAATATATTAAATTCTAAAAGTGGTCAATGCAAGAAGCAGCCATTTCAGGAAGTGACCATTTTAAGAAGTGGTTATTTGAAGATGTTGTCATTTCTAATTGTGATCCTAAACCACCGAAAGGGAGGGTCCTAAACCACCGAAAGGGAGTCCTACACGACCGAGAAGAAATAAATTTTGCCATCAAAATTATTAACTTACCCTCAATATATCTCTTCCCCATGTTCTCCTTATCTTTCTTCAATGCTTCCTCTATATCTTCCTGAGATTGCACCTCCACAAAACATTCTCCTGATGGACGCCCCGGCCGTACCTCCGTTAGATGTACACCTAAGAAGTAGACAGACATTAAAAGATAAGCAAGGGAACAAAAATCCACCCGATACCCAAACAAGACTATCTCCAACAAGTATGAGAAATATAAGAATATTCCAAAATAAGGCAACAAACCAATCTACAAAAATAACAATTATGGTTTACTTCTTATCTTAATCTTAAAACAGTGAAATAGGAGTTAGCAATATTCAGCAGACTATAATCAAAAGAGATTGTGATCACTCCAGAATAAACAGTAAGTATTACCCTTATGACATGCTATGGATGCACATTACAATTCGATTTTTATGAAGATTGATTCATGCGTACACAATCCAGCAATTTTTTGTATTAATTCATTTCAATGCGATTTTTAAATAAATCCATTCAATCATCATCTAAATTGTATTCATAATTTAAATAAGTCAGTCTCTTTCTGAACCCCCTTTTTAGCATCAGTAGAGCTCCTTATGAAAGAGTTCATCCAGGGAAGTAACCTTACCTATTTCTACCACCAAGCAGTAATGTTAGCATCACTGCATTCCAGTTTAGAAGGGTAAGGGTGCTGGTGAAATTATAGGCACCTGGGACTTCAACTTATATCTTAGGGTGACGGGTGGTGTGGCAGTACCTCTTAGGTCTTTGAAATTTGACTCACATTGAATCATAAAGCCAATCGTATTTTATATTGCTCCATAACTATCTACAAATCTTGTATTAGGTGTCTAAATCGGTGATTACGGCACAATGATTAGTTAACATATTTTGTTCATTAACAATAAATTATAATAAAACATGAATACTTAATTACATTAGCTAGCACCTTAACCCGACAGCGCTCACTACTGGGTACAAAATACCACAGAGTATTTATGTATGATGATTATTACTTTTCTGGTGACACGAGACTCTAGGTACCTTTATGCCAATGGTTAATGCACACTGCGAGACAGCTAGTTTGTATGCGGTCATTGGCAACAACAGATAATGAAAGTGAGTACGGGTAAACATTACCCAGTGGCGACAGTTCTTCCTATATGAGGCACTTAATAAATTTACTGATGTTAACTGCTAAAACAATATTTTTTACCCAGTAGCGAGTAATTGTGTCTGTAAACACTTAGTCAGTGCCGGCGGGTTAACTTTTATAAAGTAATATTATGTATTGTTATGAGAATAAGAATACTTAATATATAACTGCGTATATATATATAACTGCCTCCGTGGCCGAACGGTTACCATGCCGGACTGCCACGCAGAGGTCCCAGGTTCGATTCCCGGGCCGGGAGAAATAGTTGTATGGCCTACAATTATTTCTCTCGTGAGTTTGGGTGTAATTTGTGGTTGTCTATGTGTGTGTCCATGGCACCCGCGACACAGGGTTTCCCTAGTGCGGGGCTATGTTGAGTGTGTGTGAGTGTGTGAGAATAAGAATAAATAGTGCTAATATCCGTCATGACTCACTAGACAACCTTGATGGCCCAACCAACAGTTTGCTCTGTAGACACTGGATAGGTAGGACCAATTTAGGAAATGAACTTTTCGAAATTGGTTATAGTCTGGGTGTTATGAGATGCCCCAGATTGAGTTCCATTGCTCTTCGTAGTATAGGGAATTCCCTAGTTTGAGACCAGAGAATTGGTGTGCTTTTCTGGCACATTATAGATTTCGGAAAAATCAATTCGATATGGGATGTTAGACTTGGATAACAAAAAAAACATTGGGCATATTTAGCTTAACCTAACAGTCTACCCACACACAACAAGCATTTTTTCAAGTTACGTGACTAGTACACATTATAAGGCTTCGAGTTGAAAAGTTCATAGGCAAACCATATTGCTAAAAAGAAGCGTGAAAAGCTAAAATCTAACATTTGAAATCATACTGATTTAATAACTCCACTTAAAACAAGATTTATGAATAAAATTTAAAACCGGATTATCACCTTCTTTGCCGTTGATCACGTTCACGCCGTTCAAGAAATCGAGGACATCCTCAACAGTAGTGGAGAAAGGTAACCCCCTCAGCTTTACGATATGGGTGCTGTCCCCAGATCCCAACATTTTTACTCAACACTTAAAAATAACAAATACAAGATGAATACTTCAGATTAACAAGCAAATAACAATCACAAAAATTATCAATTTTTTTCAATAAACTTTTAGCGTCATCCGCCATTAACAGCCAGCCAGCCTTGTTCTAAAATAGAGTAGGGAGGTGTGTTATGCGCAAGTCACAAACAAAAATCGATAAATGTAATATGCATAGAGTCATAAAATTCCAAGCGGACAAGTTTCTTAAAATTAGATTGCGAACGTTTAAACGTTTTTCAGAAGTTTGACTATTTTTGATTAAGTTGACTAGATAGCGCGTTCTATGCTAAGAAAAGAACTGCCAGAATTGTTTTTTAAATCGGAACATTTTGTCATATTAAATTAATGTGAATACCTCCGCTATTGTAAATGATCTTTGCAGGTAATGCGAAGCAAGTGAATTAAGTTATCTAAGAGAAATTGAAAACGTGTATTGAAACCACAATGGAAAATATTACGTCTGAAGATCCCACAGACATATATACATATACATGGCTCAAAAGACTTGTATCCAAGCCAAAACTCTTAATAAAAAATTAAGTGATTGATGAAACTTCTTGATTGTATGATAAAGGATCATATTCCAGAACTCTTCTCAATGCTCAAGTCAGGACTTGAGTATGATTTAAAGCACTGAAAATCATACTCAAGTCCTTGCCATTAGCGTCGTATTTCCAGTGCTTGAAATCATACTCAAGTCTGTTCAAGTCCTGACTTGAGCATTGAGTAGAGTTCTGGAACACGACCCTCAATGAACTACTTTTTATTAGACTCCCGGGCACATAATTGGAGCCACCTTGCATTTTTGTCCCTATGGGGCTAGAATATAAAAATTTATTTACTGTTGAAGAAAAAGTTGTCTCTGGTTTTTTAAATTCAAATTTCTAAGAATATTTATTCTGTATCTATGTCAAATTTTCAATAAAGACAGGAAATGACGTTTAGTATATCATTTTCAAAGTTGTTTAATAGTTCTTGATCAATCAAGCATTGTTTAATTAAGCTAATGGCATTCAATATTGGAAATGCAAGGTGGCTCGAATTATGTGCCCGGGAGTATATTATTTTCATTGACTTCCAGTGAATGATTATTTTATAAAATTTTAAAAGTCGAACTCAGTAACATTTCCACAATAATATTATAAAAATAATTTATTTCAATAAATGGCAACAACTTGGTTTAGTGGTTTTTTGGTCTAGAACGTAGGTATTTTACTTTATAGAGTACTTTAAATATTGGAACCTGTTTTACTTTTTATCTTCTACTAATTTCATAAACAATGAAAAGAAAATCATTCTAGAACCAGAAAAATATTCTGTGCATAGAAGTCACGGAACTTCGAAACCACGGAACTTCACGGAACTATAATTTTTTTTTACGTCATTGTTTACGACATTGTCAGAATCAGTCGTTTCTGCGTTTATCGTGTGTCCAATAATCCAAAGTACAAGTAGATAAAAAAAACGGTATTATCTTTCTAATTTGTGATCTCACCTCATTGTCTATGGAGTTTATAAATCTGTGTTGCAGATTTATTTTTGCTTGGTTGTTTCTTTGCCCGAAAATTTACTTAATTTTCCTGCTTCTAATTAATCTTCCTTTGACTTAGAGCGAAATATTTACTATAATAGTTTTTGTTAGAAGGTTGTAAAAAATGACTGTAGACGGCGATGAAAAGCCGCCTAGGGACCGTGTGTTCATGGACATTTCCATAGGGGGTTTGCCGTCCGGTCGCATCGTATTCGAGCTTTTCAACGATGTAGCACCGAAAACGGCAGAAAATTTTCGTGCATTATGTACTGGAGAAAAGGGGGTCGGCAAAAACACTGGAAAACCCTTAACTTACAAGGTTAGTTCGTAGTACCTGGGCCCTAATTTAATATCAAGTATTTTGATTTCTTCTCGTTTGTATTCCTTTTTTAGAGAGGCTATAATGTATCTTTACCTGTTATTTTGACATGTAACTGTTTGGGAAATTAGGGCGTTTGTTCATTAATACTCAAATTGGTTCAGAACTAGAATGTTCACCAAATTGGTAGGTATATCGTGAATGTTTTTTACAAATAAAATGTTTTTCAGGGCATGGTGTTTCACCGGGTGGTTAAAGACTTTATGATACAAGGTGGGGACTTCACCAACGCCAATGGAACCGGTGGAGAGTCTATTTATGGTGGAACTTTTGAAGGTACTTATTAAAGATGTTATTAAACTATCAACGCTGAGGCTGTTTAGAAAGTGTAAATCTTGTGTATTTCTGTTTCATAATAAATATATCATGTGTTATGAGTATTCTATATGATTCAAGAGCAAAACTAGTTTTTTGTATGAAGAGTTGATTTGCATTCTCGCCATATTTAAGAAATTAATAATAGAAATAATGCTTCAACATCAAAAAAAAAATTCTTTTCAGCATTCTGGCTAATTGTATTTATTAAAGTTTTGCAGAATTTTCCCTAAATTGTATGCACCAAGCAAGCATGTAAGGGAAATCACCCGCTTCACCAAGGATACGTAATCTTTCTCTATTGCTATTTACCTAGTTTTTTAATAATGATTAAGTTGACGAAAATCAAGTTGAGCTCGTAGATTCCAATTGTGCCTTTTTTGCTTGATGATGGAAAGTTTTTTGCAAATCCACTTATAAACTCTGGACAACCTCAAAAAGATCAAATCGTATACAAGACTGGACCAAAGATTGGATTATCAAATTCAATGCATCAAAATGTAGCATTTTGCAGTTTGGTAACAATAACCCCAAAGTCACATACAACTTGCGTGGAAATACCTTGGCCACAGTCAACATTCAAAAAGATCTTGGAGTCAATATTGCATTCAGTTGAAAGTGATATGAGCATATGACTACAATAGTCAAGAAAGCTAATTCCTATGTCTATGTCATACGCAGACCGTTCCAAACAATGGCAGTAGATGTGTTCCTCAAAATCTATAAGACCTATACATATACGGCCACTGCTGGAATATGGATATCAAGTGTGGAGCCCTTATTTCCAAACAGAAATAAACCTTCTTGAAAACATTCAGTGGAAGGCAACTAAAATGCCACAGGCTCTTCGATGCAAATTCTATTAGGAGAGACTACACATATTACGCTTCAGTACTCTGGAAGAAAGACGCCTTCATGGTGACCTCATCGCGACTTATAAAATTCTGATTAGTCGGTACAATCTACTAGCAATACAAAACATCTTTAAGAGAAAAGAAAACTTTAATCTGTCACGTGGCCATCATCTGAAACTAGTTCGTGCATCTTCCAAAACTCCCGCCGTACACAATTTTATATTTGGGTTCAGTTTTGGATATGGAATGACCGCTGTAAATATGGCGAGAATGAAAATTAACACATTGTATTTTAAGAATTTAGGGAATGATTTTTTCGATTAATTTTTTTAGTGATTTGGGTTCAGTTTCGGATATACATAGAATGACCCGCTGTAAATATGGCGAGAATGAAAATCAACACATTGTATTTCCCTAACTATGTTAACATCTGTCAGATCGTACTGAAAGAGGCACAATGATAACAGAGCCCATACAAACCTAGCAAATGGAGCTAGTGAGTTGTGTCAGTAGCAAGGTAGTGCAAGAACTGAATTTAGGGCATTTCTGAAGATGCTTTAGACTAGAACGTTCCCTAAGTTCATTTGGAGTAACTGTCTCTGTGGCTATGTGCCGTAGTGGAAAATTTATAACAAAAAAGCGTTTTTTTAATAAAATTAGTGTCTGAAACAAGAACTAATTAAATTGACAAATTTATTTAATAATTAAGAAAAAAAAATCTCTTTGAATATCACTTTTATCACAACTCCTACCTGGATTTGACTGCAAAAGGGTGAAAAACTCCCTAAAGTCAGTTTCTACAATTTTGTAATATTTGGCTAACCATCGGGTAACAATGATGTCTTTGCAGGTTCTGAATAAAACACCCAATAATACCTATTGTGGTGTAATATGCAGTTTTCTACAACTCGTAGCAACACGTATTTTGTGTTAACAATACCTATTACTATTTGTTCTAATTTTTTGATAAATAAATTTTATTGTTACATATCACATCAACATCTAAGTAACTTTTAGCAAACTGTTTGGTTACATATTATTCTTACTTAAATTACAGATGAAACTTTTGAGCTACAGCATGACATGCCATACCTACTATCAATGGCGAATCGTGGCAAGGACACTAACGGATCTCAGTTCTTTATGTAAGTCCCAGGACATGGGTAAGATTAGAATAAGAATTAAGGTTCTTAAAGAAAAAAGTCAGTTTCCAGAGCAATTTCTGAAGCTTTTTACTTATGGGGTGTTCAGCAAAGAGCTTCACTACTTCATGTGAAGGGAATTGTGCACAAAGTATGTTTTATTTGTGATTTTTGGATGTTCCTGACCATTTTATACTGGCTTTTTAGTAGAGAATATTTAATATTACAATGGAAGATGCTGCAATGATGAAATCAATGATTGCTGTACTTTTTTAATAATATGTCGGTTTATGGATTCTTTTTTAAATGGCTTTATTATTAAATAACACAATGTATCATACGAGTCGTAAGTATTTACGTAGTTTAATTTATTTCATGATTCACCTTTAGAAGCCATTGAAAATCAGTGTCGCAGCCCAGTCTCCAATGGTTTTACCTGTCCCTTTTGCGTTATGCCACAACAGCATATATGACAGTATTTCAAATTGTCTCTTTATGATTTGAAATGTTTGCCTCGTTGTTTTACTCTTGTTTATTCATTCTTTTTGTGTATTTTTGTGTCATGGCATTGGCATTTTAGAATAGAATTTCTAATACCGTACCGTAGAGAAAACACCAAAATTTATTCACTATGCTATTTATATTTATCACTACTATTCAATAATATCAGTGTTAATCATTATAAATAAAAAATCGTTATTAACTTCTTGGAATGGTTTTAAATTATTCTCTTGATATTTGTATGAGTAACAAAAATAATGCTGCAAGAAGTCGAGACAAGTTTGTAGACAACGAAAGAGGGTAGGCAGATATGTCTGTTTTAGGCTTGCCAGTTTTTAATTTTTTTATAACATCAAGTGACGGGACGAACAAGTCGTGCGCCTAATGGTAAGCTACACGCCTGTCCTTAACAGTTACAGTGCCACTCAGAGCTTTAAATTGCAAAGATCTGAGGGGCACTACCACTGCGCCCGTCACCCTGAGACATAAGTTGACATGTCCCATATGCGTGTAATTTCACCGGCACCCTTACCCTTTAAAACCCGAACACAGTAATGCTGACATTACTGCTTGGCGCCAGAAATAGGTAAAGTGGCAGTACTACCCTGGACGAACTCTTTCACAAGGAGCTCTACTGCTGCTACAGTTTGCCCCGTGAACATGGAATGTGTAACCGCTCTGAAATAACTATAGAAGCGAAAAAGTGAAAAGTTCCAGCAACATGTAACTAATGATGATTGTTTAATAATAACAAATTTTAGATTTCAGCTTTATGGTGTTCTTGTTTATAATATTTGAACCACTCTAAAACATGGTTATTACGGTTTACTATATTTAATTTTTTTATTTGTAAATTTCTGAACGGAACGATGGTTAATCATGTCAGGGTGTTTAAACAATTGATTCTTTGTATCCATTAGATAGAAAAAATGAGTTCAAACAGAGGCAGATTACGTGTCCTGTACGAGATGTAATTGTTTCGTATTGGAAGCAAGATTGTAATGGAGGTCTTCAAAGTGATATCGACGATACCATAGGCAGTCTTACAATGTTTTCAAGGAATCCAAATGAAGGAAAATATATCCCATTTGACAATATCCAATGTTCCATATGAACCATTGAACTAGAAGTCCCTATATATTGTTGACTTACTGTGATAGCCTGTATGCATTTAACCCATCGTTGTATGGTTGTGTAGAGGGGGCGCGGGCGGGCGCGGCTGACGTCCCCGCTGCTGAGTCCGCTATCATTTGTTCTGTTCTGTGTGTTGTAGAACAACACAGCCGGCGCCACATCTCGACAAGTAAGTATTCTCAATGTTTAAAACTCAGTACGCACCGTAAACGTTTCAGATGCATTTTTGACACTGCGTGACAGTAAATGTGACAATAAATTCCTGTTTTACATTTATAACTAGTGAGTAGAGTGGCTACATTACTACTCTAGTTTATATTTTGGTTAACTTGGTTGGTATATTGTTGAGTAAATGTTGTAAAAAGGAAAATAGTTTTCCAGCTCTGTATAGTTCACATGGAAGTCAAACAACAATAAAATACGTAGGTCTGAATTCAAATTATTATCCACAATAAATGTAATAATTACTAGAAATTAGTAATCGTTTGCATTCGGAAATACGAAGATTGCCGAGAGAAATAGTTCACTGTAATTTATGTACCGTTTAAGAGACATCAACATTTAGCTAAATTGTACTTATTTAGCACAAGATGATTGAAAATATTCCTTACTTCATAGTTAATAAAATTAACTTGAAATTGTCAAAATCATAAGTATGAAAGATGAATTAACTAACAGTTATAAGCTTAAAAGATTCAAAAAGTTTCAGTAGCCACGTTGTGGCATGGCCATGTCCGTAACGTCAAAAATGTAAAATATCTTATTAGCTAGCCCTAATAAATTTTATTCCATAAACGCATTCAAGGATTTACAATGAAAATTATTAATATTAATAATGATAATATTAATGAATTCAATAAAAATTTATTAAAATCATAAAAAACAAATTTGTCCCATTTTTTAGATTTTTCACAAAATTATCGGTAACAATAGAAAGCGCAAGCGTAAATGCCAGGCGGATGCAAAACGCTGGTGGGGTGGTAATCGGAGAAGACGCTTGCATGTTTGAACTAACTACCAAATCTAAAAAGTGTCAGATAGTAAACAAGAACTTAAACGTTAATTTTTGGTAAACTTATTAAGTTATTAAGTTTAAGTGGTTTATGGTGTTACTAAAACAGTCGTACGAGGTTCTTAAGTGTTTTACAAATAACCCTGTGTAGGCGGTATGGTCTATATTAAACCAGTGGTACGTTACGTGTTACGATGTTATTACAAACATCGAACGGTTCAAGGCGATGCTGGCCGCTTCGTTATGAAAATGTTTACAAATTTTAAGAATGTTCAGTGAAGAGTGTTGTTCTAGTTATGACGAAGTTGTTTATATTTTCAATATAAATATAAAATAATAATAATAACGCACACACTCAACATAGCCTCGCACTAGGGAAACCCTGTGTCGCGGGTGCCATGGACACACACATAGACAACCACAAACTACACCCAAACTCACGAGAGAAATAAATGTACGCGATACAAACATTTCTCCCGGCCCGGGAATCGAACCTGGGACCTCTGCGTGGCAGTCCGGCATGGTAACCGTTCGGCCACAGAGGTAGTTAATATTCAAGCCTTGTTGGATAAGTTTGCAAATAAGACGCTTGCAGAAGCGCAGCGACACTAATATTTTCATACAATATTACTTACTATCTACATTCAATAGTACTTACTATTTTCATCCAATATTACTTACTATTTTCATATAATATGTAATCTGCAAAAATGGCGTGACTGTGGCGCTGCAGTGCTTCTACAAACATTTAATTTGGAGCGCTAAGGTGGTAGTAAATGGCGGTTAAGTTTGAATCACACAATTATTTATTTATTATAATATCAATCGATTTAAAGCTCATTCAAATTCAACGATATTACATTTTTTGAGTGCACATCAAAGATCGTATCATTAGCAAGCCTAGTACGAAATTTGTATGTAATATAATATCTTATTGGCCCTAATAATTCATTATAAACAATTTTATTGCAGATTCATGGATTTACAATGAAAATATTTATTAACATTAATAATAGTATTGTTAGTGAATTCAATAATAAATAATTCATAAAATAACGAGCCTTTTTTACAACGCAATCGCAACTCTCCTTAACTTTATAGAACATATTCTATATTAAAAAGGTTTTTTATCTGTTTTTAAAATTTAAGTATAGCAATCTTTTATAAAGGGTTATTTGTAAAACCTGACTTACTAACCTCTGAGTACTATATTCCTAACATTATAAGATTTTAATTTCGCAAAAAATAAAAATATTTAAATAGATCGCTCTAAACGAAGATAATTCTGTGCGGTAACAATAGAAAGCGCAAGCGTAAATACTATACTATGAAGGAGTAGGCTACTAAATGTAAACAAACCGTCTTATACGAAATTTGCAAATTTTTACGTAAATGTTTTGCATTGTCCTCAGTGTGCACGTAGTATTCGGTCAAGTTGTAAGCGGCGCGGCGCTGGTGCGGCAGCTGGAGGCGCTGCCGGTGGACCGCAACGCGCGCCCGCTGCAGGACGTCACCGTCGCCAACTGCGGCCAGCTCGTGCGGCTCAAACCCGGTAGGTCACTTCAATTGAATACCCTACTTGTGATAATATTTGCTAATCTGCTAAAATCTAGTTGCAATGGCAATTGAGTCTTAATAGAGTGTCAGCGGAATGGCAGTGATGGCATTCATTTATTCAATCACTAACAATCGATGTTGCCTACTGATAGTACCACGATTTCGTTTAACCAAGATAAAAGACTTTTATGGGGAACTGTATCGCGAAAACCTAAGAACTCGATAAAAAATTTTTTTATAATAAATTTCCTTTTTTAAACCAATATATCGACCCATCCTACATAAAGTATCGTATGTCAAAATTGCCCAGTTTACAGGGGAGCGTTTTCTGAAATGTGCATAACACGTGACTTTAGGATTTCTCAGTTTTATTCGGCAAAGCTCGTTACTCACATAAAGTATTTTAAAATCCCAGATATCGGTTAGACGATACAACCACAATTTATTAGGTCGGGTCCGGTGAGAGACAGTGTAAAATTATAGAATAAATTGCTAAAGTCACGTGTTATGCTCATTTTAGTGAATTCAAAGCTTTAAAACGCTCCTCTGTAAACTTGGCAATTTCGACATACGACACTTTACGTAGGTGGGTTCGATATTATAAAAAAAATGTAACTTAAGCTAAGAGCTAAGTCCAAATTCATGGTACCACGATGTCGGTTATCCATGGTAAATAACTGTTTTATGGGGAACTGTATACGTTTTTACAATAATTTTCCGGACCATATATTAAGATGATCATTTTGTAAGTTTAAAAACTACATTAAAAATATTTTGATTGAAAGACTACGTGTTAGATAACGATGTACGGAAAGACGACATGAGTCTAGATTCCCCACAAGTTTGACTCAAAGTGCAAATTCCAAAGCATTTAAGTTTATTTGAAAAGAGCATTCCCTGGAGTTTCCTGCTTGTTCTTCTCAGGGAGGTCAGCGCAGTGAACGAGCAGTAGCTTAAATGTTTCATGTGTGAATATGGAATGAATGATTCTTTGACTTTGACTGAAACACCATGCAAATTGCTTTGCAGGTCTTAATTTTTGTCTCGTTGAAACAGCATTTTAATTACAAATTAATTGTACTTACCTATGTCAAATAATTAGTCGACTACACCGCCGTCCACGCGTCATCGACTCGCCATTGAAGAGCTGAATACCAAAAATTGCAATGGCAGTTAAATAGCAGTTCGATGGCTAGTCCCTGTGACGTACGAAATCCCGCTATTGACACTCTGTGACGTACAAAATCCCGTCATTGACACTCTAACCGACACTCAACTGAGTTGATTTAAAATTAGCAGGCTTAGGGCCCGAATTCTTTTAAATTTTTTTTTATTACCAGTTTATAATATAAAGACAGAACAAATAGAAAAACTTTTTCGATGCAATGGGCCTTGAACCCACGACCGTACTGCACAATAGTATTGCTGTTACCAACTGAGCTACGGATCAAGTTATTGAGTTGTCGAAATTCTCCTATGTGTTTTTATTACAGATCTTTGTACTGGATCATTCGGCATTTGAACCGCTAGTGACATCTAGTGAGAGATTTTGGAACTTTCTTCTTTTTTCTGTGTTCGATCTTTGCATGAATAATCATAATAGAAACTAGTGGAGTTATTTCACAATAAAATATCTCAATAATATATTTTTTTTAAATTTTGACTTGTCGTCGTCCAGAGACTGACTCAGCAGGCTTTTTTCTTTTTTTTACAAAATTATTGGTCTGGGAGCGAGTAACGTATCTAGGCTAACTTACTGACTGTTCCCCTCTCCACTACCCAGGGGACATTCCTCAACGCTGCGAAGACGAGAATTCAGATACCCTATCAATAATTGTTGCTGCCAGTGTCAAGCGATATCAAATTGTTGAAGATTCCTGTTTGTCATCACATGGACAACAGTCGTGCTTTCTGAACAAGATCTTGGCAAGAACTGTTTCCTGGAACCGTTCAGGTTGTCGGAACAACTAGATGGTGTCGTTAGCCTAACGATTACGATTAGGATCACAAACGTTTTTGATGAATGAAATTTATTATTCCAGAATTCCCGATTAGGATTTTCCTTTTTTTATTGGAAGGTTTTAAGGATTTCGACTTGCCGACTGTCCGCCATTTTTTTTTGTTGAGTGTGGGCCTTGACGCTTTATCTTTACATGGTTGACCTTAAAAGTATATATAAAAACGAAAATTAAATATTTAGTATTTAGTTTCACTTTTAAATAAACCCATTTGTTCGTGGCGCCACCTGTACACTTGAGTAGCTACTATTTTGGTAACCCGGTCGTTTAGGAGATTTTCTCAGATTTTTTTTGTCTGTTATGTTTGTATTATGTTGTTATGTTATGTCAGTTATCGATTCGTCATTTAAATTTTTTTTTTTTTTCAAAATGGCCGAGAGAAGGTGAACCAGTGTCTATTGTGAAATGTAAAAACTCCTTTGATTTACACAACGCGTTGAAAACGGTCATAGTTTTTAAACGCATTTTGATTTTATATCAATTTTATATTACGTGGTTTAGTTATTAAAACTAATTTGCCTCACTGCAACACTGCCTCCGTGGCCGAACGGTTACCATGCTGGACTGCCACGCAGAGGTCCCAGGTTCGATTCCCGGGCCGGGAGAAATGTTTGTATGGCCTACATTTATTTCTCTCGTGAGTTTGGGTGTAATTTGTGGTTGTCTATATGTGTGTCCATGGCACCCGCGACACAGGGTTTCCCTAGTGCGGGGCTATGTTGAGTGTGTGCGTTATTTATTTATTTTTTAAACTTGTTTTTGTTGCAGGTAAAAAACGGAAGCAGGACAAGAAATCCAAGTCGGAGAAGGATGACAGCGATGAATCCGACCATTCGGAGAAGAAAGAAAAGAAACGGAAGAAGGACAAAAAAGACAAGAAGAAGAAACGGTAATTTAGCACGTTTACGTTAAAACATAACTGTCGCCAAAAACATTAATTTTCCCCATGTACTAAAATCTCACGGCGTTAGGGGAAGCTAAAAGTCTGTCGACTCGATCTGTTGTTCAGTTGATGGAGCAGTTGCCTTGGATTGGCATACATTGCCTTGTGTTCGACATTTATATTAATAATTATTATAACAAACTAGTGAAGTAACTTCACAAAAATAAATGAATATCATGGTATGAAAACATGTGATATTCAATAAAATCAAATGATATTTTTATTAAAATATTTACAATAAAATTGAAAGAATCAAAAGTGTTCCATCGTAGTTAACTTTTTATATGATACAAAATGACGGGACGAAGGGTGGTGTGCGTGGTTGGTTCTCAAAGCTTGAAATCGCAAATATCTGAGGGGCACTGCCACTGCGCCCATCACCCTGAGACAAGTTGACAATGTGTCTGTAATTTTACCAGGACCTTTACTCTTCAAAACCGGAACGTAGTAATGCTCACATTACTGCTTCTTGAATCAGATGTCAAATGAAGAGATAGCCATTAGCCTTTTTTTTTAATTTCGTGTCATGAGCTTCTTCACGTTGTTATATTTTTTAATCTCTCAGTGACCAATCCACATCGGGCGAGGACGATGAAGAAGCCGCTGCTCACCCCTTAGTGATGGTATCCAAGATAGATCCTCGTGAGATCCCTGAAGTGCCCTCGAACAGGTTCCTCATGCGGGGCGGGCGGGACCCTGAGAAGGATAGGGCGGATCCTAGGAGGGATAGAGAGAGGTAATGTGACTATGGACTTGTTATCCTGAGGCAGTTTTAGGCCCGGATTTCACGAAGCCGGTTTCAGCCTGGCTCCCTCTCGGTTAAACAAGCAAACGACTTTAAAAAGACAAGGTTTTATCAAATCTAGGTTGGAGTAGAGTCGTGAAATCAGGGCCTTAGAGTTTGCGGATTTGTTCAGGTATTGTGTGTCCTGTACAATGTAGCTTTTTGTCCTTCTTCGTATCTAAACCACTGCTATTTATTTTACAGTTTCTCCCAATACTTGATGTAAGTTGTAATTTAATTGAAAGCGATGAGTAAAGAGCGGTGTTAGCCCATTGGTTGCTTCTGAATTCGAGAAGTAGACTATTTGAATCCTTTAACTTTAACTTTGGTACATTTGAGAATCTTCAGTAGCGATACTTCTTGCTAACACTGAAGGAAAATATCATGAGAAATCAAAGAAAATTTACAACCCACATTGGACCTGCTTGGCGGATTATGGCCTAAACTTTCGCTTTATGGGAGACCCAGGAGTGGGATGTATAATGTGTTAATGACGAATAAAACATAATTCCTTCACTACGCCTCTACTCTATTCCCAAGTATATTAAATAAAAAGAACAATGCCCATTTTGGACTCGCAATTATTTTAGTCGTCACGGGTTGAAAATTTATATCCATCTAAATATACGTTATAAAATAATATAAGCTTTGAAATAACTTGGAGAAAAAAAGATATGAATTTTTAAAAATACGTTAGAAAGCACATAGGAACACATTGTGAATATTTGTTTTTGAACGTAACACGATTTAAATTTTGACATTTTATTGTAAGCCTCGTTCACACTTGCCATGATTTCTTCAAATTAAATGTCAAAATTTAAGTTATGCTTCATTCAAAAATAATAATCATAAAAACGCATTAAAATTTTTTTAAATATTTTTCAAAATCGTATCTGAATTTAAGTTTTTAACTCAGTATTACGAATTAACATTAATATTCATTCTTAACACAACCTAAAAAACTAAAAAAAAATTTAATTAGAAACTATATGGAAATACAAATGAAGCCCTGTATCTGCGATGGATGATCCTCAACTTTTTTTAGCTGGTCCTAGACTGTATAGGACTTGGGCATTGTTCTTTGACACACAGTTTTAAGAAGTTATTAAGTTTCTCTAACTTATTGTATTGAGTGTGGACATTGACAGGATGAGGTATCGCGAGAGAGACCGTCATGCCTACACGCGTAGCGGCAGAATCATCAAAGGACGCGGCGTTTTTGTAAGTACCAAACATATTTAGAACGAAAGAATTTGGTCTCATTTTCGTCTAAGAATTATATTTATTTTATATTGACAAAATAGGCCACACGCTTGTTTACAATCTTGCCTAATGCTAAATGATACAGACGATTCTTCGTTTCGATCAATTGTCATAATAATTGTATCGATCATCCGCTACTCTCTTGGCGTTCAAATTAATCGCGAACGATATAATCATACACTATCGATTTGTTGTTGAAAACCATTTTTTTTTCATTTAAAGTACCAAGTCAAGACGAAAAAGTCGTGCGCCTGGTGGTAAGCGACACGCCTTTCCATAACAGTTGCAGTGCCACTTAGTAGTGCAGTGCAGTGCAGCTTTAACTTCCAAAGATCTTAGGGCCCGTCACCCTGATATGTAAGTTGACAAGTCCCATGTTCCTGTAAATTCACCAGCGCCGTTACAATAAACTTAAATTTAATATTTTAATTAATTTTTTTTACAATCCATCAAGGCTGTATGTGTCTTTGCTTTTTAAAACATTTTAGTTCGAGTGGTATTTGTTATCTCTGGAAGAATAGCTAGCTGACCACCAGTTAAAAAAAAAAAAACCCGCTATTTGCAAAATCCATAATTGTTGTGTTGCGAACGATATTAAAATTTATTCATAGAAGAAACAAACATTGTATTTATTTCCACGCAAATGTGACAAAAAACATTGTATGTATCACTGACGGTAAAAAAATTTAGTAAACTCCAGTTTTAAAGCCCTCAGCCTTCGGCTTCGGGCTTCTAATAGACCCTCGTTGTTAATTTCTTATTTAATACATAATGTACTATTTCGAAGATGTTGTCGCTCAATTTATGCAGTGGGATTTAATGTTGTGAATTGAAATTCCAATCTCCTTCGGCAGCGTTACCGCACGCCGTCGCGGTCACGGTCGCGGTCCCGCTCTGTAACACCACCCCACTGGCGGCAGGCCCAACGACGCATTATCAAGCTCTCAGAGCTCGAGGTCAGTACCCGTCATTCCATTTAGCTTCATGAACAGTTCATCGACTCTCGTTGGAACATGCTTAGTAGAAAGGATGGATGGAGATAGAATAATGACATTATAGAATGAACTCAGACTGTAAGGGGGGAAGCTCGACCTTGGCGTACATTAGATACAACCTCAAATGGCTTTGGTTGGTTCCCCATAACAGTGAAAATGTTGAATCAATCACTATAGTAAATTTGAGGATTTACACTGATTAGTGTACGGTGTGAAAAACCGATTCGTAAAAATTTTACGATTGAAAAAAAAAACACAAACTTACCTCGAATTTTAGAAGAAAACCGCTGCAACAGGTACTTCGCATATACCAATGATTTTTTTCTTATATCAACTAAACCAAATAGAATACGTATACGTTATAAATTTTTCGAATAGCTTTATTTTCGTTTGTAATAAAATACTTTCTGATATAAAGCCAGTGTCCCAGTTGTTCGACCTAAGCAAAATTAACCGTATTAGTACGGGAAAATTTTAATTCGAGGTGAGTTAGTATAGACTCTTAAAAAAACATTAAATAGACTATTGACCATTATTTGACTTTGAAGCAAAGATGGGGTCTACTAGGGAATAAGCTTGCCGAGAAGATGACGTTATAGTACTTTTCTCAATTAGATCGAGGATATGTTTAATAGCCAGGCCAAAAGACTGCGAGTAGACGAAACAAAGTAGGTATATTTGGAGGGATGAAGGTTCATAGTCTCTGCCTACTGCAGTGGGAGACATTCGTGATGTCTATGTAGAGCAAGGTTTCTTAACGTTTTTCTAGTCATTGATCTTTGTCAAAAGTTTCAGACAGCCCATAGACGCTTTCCTAAATAATCTCAGTACAGTGTACTAGAAAAACCGACCTCAAAAGTCATTCGTCCGCTTGTTTGCCATCTTAGAGGTGGAATATTTTCTTTAAATTTAAATGAGACCACTCTTGAGGTACCCTCTTTCCAACAAAAAAAGAATCAGAGGCGGTTCACAAATTTGTCACGTAACATACATACAAAAAAAAATGCAGTGAATTTGAACCTCCTTCTTTTTTGAAGTCAGTTAAAATGAAGTTGAAGAAAGGCTCTCTCGGGTGCGAAAATTCAAAAAGTCACGCGTACAGTATCTATTTAACCACATATTTTATACCAATTTTTATATAAAGCATTTGTTATGTTAGGTAGCTCGCCATGGACGCCCAGCGTTCATTACACCCCCTTAGGCGTCCATGAACCAGAAGTTAAGAAACCCTGATGCAGAGGAAGTATTATAATGCGTGTGCGTGTTTGTGTGTGTCTGTGCGTGTCTGAAGCGTAATGGTATGTATGTACCACTGCATTTATTTATGGGGAAAAAGCTATAATATGTCCATATAATTAGAGCAAAAATACCTGGTGCTATGTTTTTTTCGGTTTTATTACATGGACATTACGCCTGTTATGGCCCGTGTGTGTTAGTGTGTGTGACTTCCGTATTCATGGTGAAACTTAAGAATAATAAGATTTGTGTTTTAGCGTGCTGAGCCGGAGAGAGTGCAGCAGGATCGCGGTCGGTCTAGACATATTGAAGTATCACGGGAGGATGAGGGTGGCACTCCGGAGCCTATTGAGAAAGAGGAAGGCGAGTGTGATACAACTCTCGGTGAGTCCGAATATAGTGTATACTTTTATAAATGTAAACTGTAATCGATAACAGTGTGAATTTTAATGTGACAAAACTTTTATAGAGACTTCCCGCCACGAGAAAGTTGATTACAACGCTTTGGACTTCGAAGAAGATATCGAACATGAGGGTAAGTGAACTTTGCTTGATTACAAATAGTCCTTAATTCATTTATTTGCTGAAACACAAGTTCTATAGATGTTGTAACACAGCGTCAGGTTTTCCCATCACATCCATGGTCGGTAAAAAGTTTTTTTAATTTGGAGCCCGACGCACTTCCTTACATAGTTCAGATGCATGTCCAAGCAAGGAGGTTACTTAAGTTCAGTATTAAAAATTTCGCTTAAAATGTTATCCAAACAGAAATTTTATTGCAATTCAGCCACATACTACTTAAACACTTAATATTAAAAATTTCTTATCACCATCATCATCATCATCATGGCGGCCATTTTGTTATCCAATCTTGGATGTAGGCTTCTTCCCTCTTCTTCCACTCTTGACGATTTTGTGCCCAATTCATCCAGTCCCAACCTCCAGTCTCCACTCAAGTCCATTCTGGCAATGTGCCCCGCTCACGCCCACCTATTCTTCGCCACGACAGCCATTAAAATCAATTATAAGAATTTCTTATAAGATTTTAATTATGTTGTGTATAAAAATTTTGCAAAATTCAATTCTTTATTGCAATCCGTCAAGGCCGTATGCGTCTTTGCTTTTTACAACATTTTAGTTCGAGTTGTATTATCTGTGGAAGGATAGTTAGCTGGCCATCTGTTAATAAAAACAACCCGCCATTTGCAAAATTTATAATTGTTGTGTTGTCAAACATATTTATTCATACATATTTATTCATATATTTATTGCAAATGTGACGAAAAACATTGTATGTATCACAGACGGTACAAAAATACAAAACTTGAGTTTTAAGGCTCTAAAAGACCCTCGTAAGTAATTTCTTATTTACCGTCCTAAGGTTTCTTTTCTGCCTCGCTACCTCGCACATCTCTGGTGGAAAGGCAGCCCTAATATTCAACATACTATTTTATGCCTGGTCAAACATTAGACATGCAAACATATTCTGCTGTCCTTATAATTTTTTACAATACGATAGCGGAGAATATATTAAGATTATCATCATATCCTAAGTTTAAAACTTACATTAAAAGTATTTTAATTGAAACGTCGTATTACAAAATTGAAGAGTAGGTTTTAGGTAAAGAAATATGGAAAGACAACAAGAGTCACAATTATGATACAAAGTGTATTCTAGGGGAGTTTCCTGCTCGTTCTTCTACGGGATGTCAGCGTAGTGAACGAGCAGTAGCTTAAAAAATGACGTTTTCAAGTGTAACAATTTTACCTATGGAATCATTGACTTACAATTATATGGACGTCGGGTCCGCGCTAAAAAGTGTCCGAACTTATAGGGCGTTAAAATCGTATACAGAGCGTCATTCACGCTTTAGTCTTCGTTTGTTCGACTGACAGCGAAGCAAGCAAAATTAGACAGTACTGCGATGACATTACAATTTAAATTCAACGTTTTAGCTTTTTCATATTCCTTTACATGTCACTACGTTTAAATAGGTTGACTTGGGACATTTTTTTCGTGGTTTTTGTATTAGACCCGTCGTCCATTTATTTGTAAGTCAATGTATGGAATAAATGATTATTTAACTTTGACTATCACAACTAACGTAATCGACATGTTTATAGTCCGTATGTTTAGGTACTTAACTAAATGTAAACAATCTTGGCATGTCTATTTAATTAAATATACATTTATAAAATGATTTTTACTTATTTACTTCATACGAAATTGCATGCCTATTTTTATACCTATTGATTTGTAAAGCATATGTTTCAATAAAGAGATGTATCAAGATTGTTTACATTTAGTTAAGTAGCTGAACAAAGGACTATAGCGAAATTGAGTTATTCACTTATCTGGGATTAGTGAAATGATATCTAACCCTTTCTAATCCTCTTTTGTCTCATTCAGTTTCAGTGGTATTGTTAAGCAAAACCGATTAACTAACAGTTTTTATTAGCAAAAAATGTAGGTACCAATATCTCTCTCTCTTTGTTCTGATAAGGATGCCACTATTCGAGTATATAACCAAAAATAGAGATGAAATGTTATTTAATTTATTTGAAAACTGTTCTGCCAAATCATTACTGTGACACCTGCGCTCCGATTGGCCAGCCCGAATTCGAAACAATTGACGGGTGTCGTTTCATTTCAAATCGACCAGTTTAACCTGAGCTTTGCTACAATGGACGAAAATTGCAAAATTACATATTTAATTACCAATGAAATGTGTTTGTTTGTAATAAGACGTTTTGCTGTTTTTGCCACACCACCGACTGGAACAGCCCCCATTGTTACAGATTATCTTTATTACAATCAATACAGAATATTTTTGGATTATACGGAGACGTACACACAGGTCAGTTGTTGGCGCTATATTATTTCAGTTTTCTAATTTGTGATTTCAGCGCAAACGAGAGTTGATATTTACTAGTGATATATAAGGCCCATTTACCTGATGAGTTGCCAGGGATCGATGGGCCTTATGTCTGGTTATATACTCGATGATGCCAGTATCGGTGGCGTACTGTCCATTCAGAGTTAAGGAAAAATAAATAACTGGGACAGTAAAGTGGGTTTAGCATTTTAAAAATTGACACCACATATTTCTAAAAAGTCAGTAAATAATGAAATGACTCGGGGCCATAGTATCTAGTGTAATGTGGGAATGATCGTCTCGTTATCGCGCAGACGAGGAGCGCGGGGCCGGAGCGCGGCGGCGCGCGCGCAGGCCCGAGCCCGAGTCGCGCGCGCAGCTGCTGGCGCGCGCGCTGGGCGTCGAGCCCAAGACCAACGACCGGTGAGTTTACTTTTCAAAAATTGCGCATTTCACCGCCATCTCACCTGATGGAAACTGCGAGCATGCACACCTATATAATGCCTATTCACTCTCGTCTTGAAAAGGCCCAAGTTGTACCGTTCAGGGAGTAAGTTCGCAGGCGAGGAATTCCACTTCATAGCCTTTTGCCATGTAAATGTGGGAACAAAACGCTTTGTGCTAATCCTCGGAGTATCCACAACATAGGGGTGGCAATTCCAGGGTGCCAGCGGCTCACGCGTTACACGTACACGACGGGTTACCGGTGAAATTGTCTGAAATTTCCTTAATAGTTGGTTTTCGCGGGGAACTGGATACTATTCTGGAGAGCTAAATAAACATTGTGAATTCATCGTCATTTAGCTATTAACCGCCAGGTGGCAGCACATTGATTGAAATTTCAACGTGAAACTAAAACGTCGTAACGATGTGCCAACAAGGTGATGTTTAAATCATTTATTATATCTATTTAAATTTGAAACTTTAATGTAACAACAATGTAACCACGCACACACTCAACATAGTCCCGCAGTAGGGAAACCCTGTGTCGCGGGTGCCATGAACACACATATAGACAACCACAAATTACACCCAAACTCACGAGATAAATAAATGTAGGCCATACAAATATTCCTCCCGACCCGGGAATCGAACCTGGGACTTCTGCGTGGGAGCCCGGCATGGTAACCGTTCGGCCACTGAGGCGAAACACTGACCCATCATTATCAAGGTGTTTTGAAGACGGAGTAAAATGACATTTGCAAGGTTCCCAGTTTTTATAAAATTTTAAATCGTCGTGTAGTTGTTTTCGGCGGTTTTATCGGTAGATCGTGAAAGAAGGTTAATTTTGCCAAAAATGTTTGAATTGAAAATGTTACCTACTACGATCTAAAAATTAGTATTGCGTTATTGCCTTCTTTATTCCTATTTTCACCTTTGGCCTACTAGTCCCGAAACAAACAATTTTTATTCACATGCATTTTAATAAAGACAAATATTGGATTAAAATGAAAAAGTTAATATGTCTCCATTTTGTATTTTTAATAGACATAATTCTAAATGTAGTGTGTGCATGTACGAGTTTACAGGGACAATTCAAATAAACTTGTGCCCAGCAGTTAAACGAATAATTGCTCGATAATGATTCAAATGATACAAAATCGGCTTTTTATTGCATAAGCGTAACCAACATTCAGTCGATAGTTGATAGAATATTTCTGTGGCTCCCGTGAAAGGGGGTCTATGTCAAAAGAGACAACTTTACAAGGAAACGCGAAAAGCACTTGACGCTTATTATCATATTAAGCTTTGACTGTTTTTCGCGTCTCCTTGTTAAGTTGGATTTTTGATTTGTATTTTAACAGAATTATCGACTATAATCATTAACTATTAGCGAAGCCGTGGACTGTCTGAGTCCACTATCATATCTCCTCATTGGTGGCGGGCTGTGAGGCATGTTCGGTTCTCGACGCCGAAAAAAAAAAGCGGGCAGTGTTATTTATATATGAATTGTCATTTTACTCAAAAAGACAGACTACAGTGTTTAACATTATGATAGTGTGGGTTCAGATAGTAATCGGGGCTTAAGGCACTCCCGTCGATTCCTTCTCCCGCTACTTACGGCCGGTCCGTGGCCCTCCGCAGGGACCGCGACACCCGCGAGCTGCGCGCGGCCGCGGCGCGGCGCCGCGACGGCGTGCAGTCGGCCGTGTTCGCGGCGCCGCGGCTGGCCTCGGCCGTGGCGGGCGAGGGGCTGGGCGGCAACGCCCGGCCGCCGCGGCCCGCGCCCGACGACAAGCCCGACGGGTACGACCCCTTCACGATGCTGCGCAGCACGTTCAGGAAGGACAAGGACTACAAGTACGTATACCATAGCTAGCGTTCCTAGCGCTGCTGCGTTCCGATTTTGAAGAATAAGGGTGCTGGTGAAATTGCAGGCGCACGAGGCTTGTCAACTTATGTCTCAAGGTCACAGGCGCAGTGGCAGTGTCCCTTAGATCTTTGCGATTTAAGGCTCTGAGTATCACTGTTCATTTATTTATTTATTATCAACGCTAAGATTATGTTCGCAACACGTTTTTATCGTATTTGACAACAACAATTACAAATTAAATTAATATTTTTGACACATTAACATACTTAAATAATTTAAAGTAGATACCAATAGAATACATTGAGAAATACTATAGGAACTTAATTAATTATTGTAACTGTTATGGACAGGCGTGTCGCTTACCGTCAGGTGCATATATTTGGATATCATGATACGTGAATATTTAACTTAAAACCTATATCTGAACGGCTCACACTGGCCACATTAAATAAATCTCAAGAAAAGAAGACGGGAAACATGAAAGCTCGCAAAAATATGGAAAACTGTTTTTATTTCTTGTATACCTATTGCAAAAATCGTGAAACTTACGCGGGGTCGGAGTAATCTTTTTAGATGTCATTGGGCTACATTCAAATTCAATGGTTTAGCGAGGTAAAGACAACAATATATTTTTTTGTAGCATAATATGCTTTACATAGTTAAGTGTAATTGTAAGTGATATCGGCCATTTCCTTACTAACTAATAGGGCTCTATTTGAAATTTTTCTGGACAAGACGAACGACCTTGCTCAAAATGAACTTTCTTCACTATGTATGTCCACCTGTTTTGTATATGAATATAACGCATAAAACAAGTGATGGAGCTACAACTCCAGATGGAAATGATAAACCGAAAAAATGTTGCCGTAAAAAATTGCCTAATTATTTAATAGTTGCGGTAGGAAAGAGACGATATATATATTTTTTTCCACAGGAAAGATGAGCGTCCAGATCATGTCGAAAGCCGCTGGAATAGAGACAATAGAAACCGCGATAAAGAAAGAGATGATAAGCGTGATCGATACAGAAACGACGGGCGGGACGACAAACATGACCCTAAAAGAGACGAGAAAGATTCCAAGTCTGAAAGAAAAGATGACAACGAGAGAGAGAAAGAACGATTTGGAAAACCTGACGATAAGGCCGACCGTCGCGACGAGTCTAAATTCGATAGGAAACTCGATAAAACTCCGGAACGCCGTGAAAAGTCCGGAGAAGGCCGTGAAAAATCTGGAGATAAGGGCGATAAGTCACGAGATAGACGTGAAAAGTCTTTAGGTAAAACTGATAAAGATAAGCGTGATAAATCTGAAGACAGATATGGTAAGAGAGATAGACGTGACAAGTCCGGAGATAGGCGCGAGAGGAGGGATAGATCTAAGGATCGTGAAAAGTCACGAGATAAACGCGATAGATCCAGAGATAGACGTGACAAATCTAGAGATAGGCGTGAAAGGTCCGATGACAGGGGTGAAAATTCTAGAGATAGGGATGAAAAACGTAGGGATGATAAAAGCGTGAACAGGGACGAAGATAGGGATCGAAAAAGGAGGCGTTCCAGGTCTAATTCAAGGTAAGTTAATATTTGAGTCTAAATAAAAAATGAAGTTATTTTGCAGAGACTTTTTAAAATCTACAAAATAGTATGGCCAATATCGATTTAGAGTTCCTAGTAACTATATCTTCCGGTAGATATTAATAAGTCTACCTCAAGTTCTGGATCGACATTAAAACGTAACGTAATGTGTCAGGATACAGCGTTTATTTGAGACTTAAAAACTGGTATGGTTGTCTGGCACATTATTACTTTATATTAAGTCCTATCAAATTGCCGTTTTATATAGATTTTTTTAATGAAAAGTATATATTTAATTAATCCAAGTGTTGACCGTTATATATTATTGTCGATGCAGTTTTGCCATTTTGATGCCTCTACTATCAAAATCCTAGGAACAGGAATTGTTGAATTGATTTATAAAGGCCTTTTTCTCCGTCTCATCGGGTTAGAATTTTTTTTCATGGTCACAGCACAGCTAAAATCAAAGTAAAATCTAACGGCAGAAAAACAAATGAATAAGTAATTTTTAAAGAGATAGTAGACAGTATAACTATAATTTTAATTTGTAACTTTTAAGTAAAATGAAAAACATCGAACTTCAGACTTGCCAGTATTTACAATCGGCAATTTCATTGGTAAGGACCTAATATTAATATAGGCTTTAGCTCCATTTTTTATCATTACAGATAAGTTAGTAAAGTAAATATATACGTAGTTTAAATTGTATTACGATTATTAATAATCATTACTTACAAAACATACATAAAACATCATGACATTCAGTCAAAAATTACAATTACTAAAACGACATCTCTAGTCAACTGCTGGTAGCTATAAAGGTACCCACCTCGCTAAGTAAAGAAAAGAATAGATAGATTAATAGATTTCTCATAGATGCCGCTACGGCAAAAAAGTTGATAAAAACCAAAAACAGAGATCTGCCACAAGCGCATAGATAAATTAGTAAGGTTAGGTGACTCGGTCTTGTTTGAAGACGTTGGTTCGAATCCAGCTGGATCGTAGGAATTTTTTAGTGTTCGATCTTTGTAATTTTAATTATAACAAACTATTAATATGTTTTAGTTTATTCTAATTTCTATTAATAATTAATAATAAATTAAACTTAATAAAAATTCATTCAATAAAATAATTTGTAAAACTTAATGTAGAGTAAATTGGAATGTTTTCTTTGTAAAATTAAAAATAAGGTATTTAATTAATAACTATTGTAGCTATAGTGAAAAAATAGGGTGGTTTGCATTAATATTAGACATAACTGGTTGAAGACTGTACCACCTCAGTCAACCGTGACCATGGGACCTGTAAAGGGCCCGAAACGTCGGTTTGTTTGAAAAAACAAATATACGCGATTTAAATCGGGAAAAATAGTTTCATTTCCTATGTATAACAAACTAATTACACAAAAAATAATTCAATGAATTTTCACGTGTCGGTGTGAATTTTAGGTCGAGATCGCCGAAGCCTCGCGAGAGGAAACGTTCAGGAAGTCCACAGAAGAGCACTGACAAAGGGGTGCATGATACTGATAAAAAGAAGGTAACGAATGTTGTACTTATTTATTTGCATATACAGTTTTATTTGCAAAATACTTTTAAGAATAAAAACTCCAATGTAGTAATTTAAACTTATTTATTCGTTATCACATAAATAAATAAATAAAATAAAAAATCACTTCGTAGAAAAGTCTACAATATCAAATTTACAATTTCTGTTCACTAATTATTTTTCCTAATTACTTAATTTAATAATCTACTTTTATATTCTACTTCTTTCGGACGAGCAGCACACAAGACTGTTCGCCACTGCATTTTTCTTTTTTCCTCCCTTCTACCCCTACTTCTTTTCCCTCCAATGGATACTCGCTTTTGATTGGTCAGTATAACGACCAATCAAAATCGAGCATCAGTGGCGCCACAAGTACATAACAATAATGCTTATGGCGCCAAAAATAATATGCAAATATTCGATTAAGGGAATCATGACAATACTAATAAACTTGCAGGATTGCATTACTATAGTCCGTCGAACCATTTACAGCGCTTCTATTTTCTCAGTGTCCCTCGGGAATCACCGGATTTTCGAATGCACACGAATATTAATTTCCGTGCCCATTAATTATTAGATTTAAAATCTATAACGTACGTACTTTATTGTTGCTTTGTTTTTCGCCCTATTTTTAAAAACATTGCACCATGTCAATAAGCAAGTTAACAAAAATATAAGGTAAATAAAGCGTGCTTCTTTTATATAACTAAAAATTAATATTTTTCCGGTTATTTCAATTCAGTCCGTATCTGACGCATTTCTTCATCTTCGATGGAATGGTGTTTATTATAAAATTGTTCATTAGCGGCATTCCTAATATTGTATAATGAACAAAAAATATAGTAACAACTATACATACAACTATATATACTTCCAAGTCGACTGAAAAGCGTTCGGTCTGTACCAAAGGCAAAGGGCAACTGAAGAAAACCCGACGACAGCCGAAACAAGAAGTTTGTCGAGGGACATTGAGAAAATAGAAGCACTGTGTTTTGCTTTTGGCAGCTCGACTACTAATCAATTAGTGGTGTCCTAATGCGTTACCGATTCGATTTCTTATAACAATCGATTTTATTTATGAGGAAGTTTGAATCGTAATTTGCATTCGTTGAACAACGATAGTTTATAAAGTATAAAAAAAAATTTCATCGATTTAACACAACAAAATATTAGATATTATGAAACGACCTCGGCGGATCAGTGATCCATTACAATTTATTGTAATTATTTCAAATTTATTATAATTTATTAGATATGTATCAAAACTATATAAACAAAATTTTTTACATTTTTGCATTACGCACGGACAAAACCATAATAAAGCCACTGATCACGTCATTGAATGTCAAATAGAGGTCATTACAATTTTTTAAAAACACAGCACATATTAATCAGCACTTTTATTGCTCGAAATGGATTTTTAATTAGAGAGTTCGAAAAAAAATTAACAATGCCCTTTGGTACCCCACTGTTATGAAGTTAGTATATTAAAAGTGGACAATAAGGTTTTTTTTATAATTATGAATGTTTGGTCGTAGGAAGAAGCCCAAAGCGATGCCCGCAAGGAACTGATGGAGATCGTACGCCTCATCAAGTCCAGGCAGCGCGACCGCGAGAACAAAGCTGCAGGTGATTACAAAACTGCTTTTCTGGTAGTAGAGTTCTGTACGTGGAAAGCAATACTGCTATATTTCACATACAAAGCGAGGCAGGGAATTTTTTAATGACGAATTCTGCCGTCCACTCACTAAAACGCAGTAAGTGGCAAGTGGTTAAATATCCATTAAAATAGCATGATACAGAGATATGAGTTCTATTCAAAAACGGTTAATAGTTATTTTTGTTACAAGTGCGGAATGTTAGTCATTATTCACGAGTCTCGAGGCTTCTTCGAGATAAGCGAAAATGACAAGTCCGCACGTGTATCAAACCACGTTTTTTAATACATTAGCAAAAAAAACTACATTGAAAGTAAAATAAAACAGTATATTTTAATGGCGCGGTGCGCAGCGGTCTCGCGTAATACTCACCTCCGGTCATTGTTAATACTCAATCAGCCATCTTTATTATTGTTGTTTTATAAAACACCTATGCAATTTAAACAAATAAGATGTTTCTAAGTAAATATAAGTTTTAATGACGAACTTCTTCAGTTCTATGTTTAAGACTTGAAACAACAGCGAATTAAAAAAAAATGGAAAAGCATAAGCACTAGCGCGAAAAATCCAAGTTTCGGCACGATTTGTAGCACGAAAAATACCACGTTTTGAGCAACTGTATTAAAAGTTAGTTATCGTGTCCGATATATCGTAACTTAACCTAATGCTATCTCAAAAGTGTATTTTGCCCCCGTAGCATGGCTATGCATGATAGTCGCGGCACGCGCGATGAAATTGAAATAAGCGCGCCCTATTGACCATCTAAATTAGATCTGATTGAGACAGCCATTCTGTGGCGCCTTAAACGCGCGTCACCAGCGTCTATACGCGCCGCAGAGACGTTGTGGTCGCGCGTTTTAAAAATTCATATTGTTAAAATAAAATAATTGTAAAACATATGTAGCGTAAATTATAGTGAAATATAACTGGTTGATGAGTCAACCGTGCCACCACCACGTACCACCTCAGTCAACCGTGACCATGGGACCTGTAAAGGGTCCGAAACGTCGTATGTTTGAAAAAACAAATATCCGCGATTAAGTCTGGAAAAATAGTTTCATTTTCCATAGATACTTTTAATTTTAATTTTGCTTGTTAATTTCAGTTAGTTTTGGAAATGCTCCAATTAAAAAAAAATATAAAAACACGCACACTGTGTCTTTATAAACATATACTAAAATAGAGAAATCACTTAGTAACTGTACTAAATTATTTGTATTCGGTTTTGGAAGAGTTTATTTTGCATGCATGGTATTAAACACGAAGTGTGAAAAGGATAACATAATAGTAAAAGCTTCCTTCAACATGATATTCTAAGTGTAAACTCCAGTGGACTATAGAAGCTTCTTGCTTGCAACGCGATATTCGATACAGACAAGTTTTAAAAGAGTTTCTCGTGCGCGTCTGTATCGCGTTTTACTCGCGTTTGTGTTAATTCAAACGCAACAATTTGCTGTTTGAGCGCCGCATTTGTGCGTGCGCGTCGTCGGCTAGTATAAAATACTCCGTGTGCTTCGGCAGCTCTCGGCAGGCTTCGTTACTGTTGCGGTGGTAAATGCCGTTTTTTAATTCTGTTTCTGTCCAACTAAAATGCTTAAATAGAGCTGAAAATGTTGATAACTGTTCCACCAATGCTATACAAACGCAGTTATGAATGGTCTGGAATAATGTGTCTTTCAAATAAAATGCTAGCTATTATGCCATAGACAAATACGCCTACTTATGCAAAGAGACAGCGACATCAACCTTATAACTCCCCTATTTTTTCGCCTGGATCAATAATATAAAAGATTGTGTTTGTGCAGAGGCTAAGAAGAAGCAGGATTCGTCGGACAGCAACTCCGAGTCTGACGACGACCGGCGCAGACGCCGCCGCTCTAGCGACCGCGACCGCAGGAAGCGCAGCGACAGCCCACGGTGAGATAAATCAAGGTTTTAAAACCTTGACTTGACAGGTTAAGTTTAGACTGAAAACTCAATCTATTTCTGTGTTCAAACCCAGCATATAATGCGTTTCATAGTTTGTATGCTTTTTTATTCATAATTATAATCTTAATACGCGATAATTTAAAAAACCTGAAATACTTCTTAAGACAATCGCTTTTGACATTTTAAACACTTAACTTTTAATTTTATGTTAAATACCCAATTTACTGATCTATAAGGAACGTGGCAAAGTAAGCAACTGTAACAAATTATAGTCTGTCTTTTTTGAAGACAGAGAGCAATGACATTTGTAGGGTTGCCAGTTTTCATAAAATTTTAAATGTATATGTAGTTGTTGTCGATAGTTTTATCGATAGATTGTGAAAGATAAAATTTTGCCAAAAATGATTGAACTTTGAATGTTACGACGTTCTAATGATTACTAATTGCGTTGCTGCCTTCTTTATTCTTATTTTGGCAGTTGCCCTACAAGCATCGAGATAAAGTTTTATTCATATACATTTTAATAAGAATAGCCGGATTTTTTTATCTATATTGAATTAAAATGGATTTTTTTTGAAATATATCCCCTTTATATTTTTCATAAACATAGTCTAATTTGAACAGCTTATTTGAAAACTCAAATTAACATGTTCTCAGTAATTTGATTAATAATGGGTCGAAGATCATTCAAATGAAACAAGTTTGGCTATTTATTCCATAAGCCTGATCAATATTCAGTCGATAGTCGATAGAATATTTATCGACTGCAATCACTAGCTGCTCGCAAGCGGGCAACGCTTTTACGCAATGAACTATCAATTTACTCCGTCTTAAAAAAAGGTGAACTATATTCTAGATCACGGTGTAACGTCTTATTTTTTAGTTCTGCCAAAAAGGGAATCTTTCAAATCGAGATATTCTTTAAAGTAACACTTAGTTAACAGTAGTAACACTTCTTAACGCACAGAATCGGCTTTATATGCAATGAGAGAGACCGTTGATGCCCTCAAGTGACATTAACTAATAAAAGTGGTTACACTTTTAGCGGCGATACAAACGTGCGATTGCATCGCTACATTTGCATCGGTACAAAGTCGCTTATCGTCGCCTTAATTTCTCAAACTCCTATCTTAAAGAACAAAGTTACTCAAAAGCAAAAAATGGATTGTATATACAAATTTTGCACGCTGGTTTCACAACATATTTCCTTCATATTCACCCACTGGCTTTTACCTGTTCTTAAGGTAAAAACCAGTGCATCCAAATGATCACCCTTGATAAGATATTTAAAATAAATAGAAAATTTTGCCATCTCCTGAAGAATTACTCTTTATAAGATACGAGCTTGAGAAAGTAAGTAGTTCGCGGTGTACGGATAAACCTACTCAGGGTTTTGTTGTACCGCTATGTTTTAATTTATAAGTTTTCTTTTTGCAAAAATTTTAATAATAATAAAAAAAGTTAATTAATTTAAAACGTGTATCGCGTTTGCATCGCGTTTGTCTCGCGTTTGTATCGCTGCTTAAAGTCGCGCATATGTATAAATGTTGCCGTGTGGAATTGCTCTTAATATGCACACGTGACGGATTTATGAATATAAGCTGAACTACTCGATAGAACTAGGGAACGAAGGGCTTCGGTCACATGGAATTTTACTGCACGTTTTTTTTGCAAGTTAAAGAATCGAATAAACAGTAGCACATACGTTATATTGTATAATACCTTTAACACGTAGTTTGTACTGCAAAAAAAACGATAAATACATTTTTCTGGTGAAATTACAGGCACATGAGACTTATTAACTTATGTCTCAGGGTGACGGGCGCAGTGGCAGTGCCTCTCAGATCTTTGCGATTTAAAGCTCTGAGTGGCACTGCAACTGTTATGGACAGGCGTGTAGCTTACTATCAGGCATGACTTGTCCGTCCCGCCACTTGATATTATAAAAAAAATCTATTTCTGTAGTTTAAATAATTTCATAAACCATGTTACAAAGGAGTTGTGAATTAAAATTCTATTGTCTGTCTATTTGCTCCTGAATTCAAAAATTTCATAATAGTTTCGTACACAGGACTGAGTTTCAAGAAAAATAACATCTAATTTTTGCTAACTAAAATATCAAATATGATCCTACTAAAACGCTCTATTGTACCTGTATTAAAAAAAGTTAAAATATAAGCGGTACTTGGTTAATTTTATTCTGTTTCTTTGGTGTTTTTTTGTGTAGTGGTTTGGCTTTTGCTTGAATTTGTTATCGTGTATTGTTAACAAAATAATTAAATATTGGTTGCGTTTAATTGTTTTATTTACTCGTACAAAAAAGTGTAGTATGCAATCGTTACATAAGTAGGTCTTAGAATCTCGTACATGTTCTTTAAGTCGGTAAACACGGCACTCGACTTTAAAAACCTTCGTCATGTAACGATTGCACGAAGTACTATTATTGAACAGTCACAAGACTCGTCGAGCGAACAGAATGAACTTTGCCGTATTCGGATTGCAATCCTGCTGCTGCAGCAGCGCGCAGTCTTTTAGGCGAATGGAGCCGTATCGTGCGAGTGTTTGTCGCGAGCAACGTGCAGTAGAACGGCACTAAATGCGTTCGCCGCGTCTTGCCCGCAGCCGCCGGCGCTCCAGCTCGCGGCGCCGGCGCTCGCGCAGCGGCTCGGGGCCGGGCCCGCGCGCGCGCCGCCCGCGCCGCTCCTCGTCGCGCTAGCGCAGGCGCAGGCGCAGGCGCAGGCGGGACTCGACTTTCACTTGGCACCCTCCAGCGATACTTCGCTCGTTTATGCGCCGTGTTGGCGGAATGCACAATTTTCACTCTTCTGTACTTCGTTTTTTTAGCATTGGACGGAAGGAAATTTTGGTTCTTTTACCGGGCGCCATTCCGTTCAGTTATTTTGTGAGTAATGCATTTTAATAAACACCTCGAAACAAAATTCTCAAACGTGTTTCCTATTTTTAAGCAATTATTACGTTTTTCAACTCGCAGTATTCAGTATTGTAAATGAATTGAAAAAATTCGATTTTAACATACTTAATCTATTCCAAACACTACCTCTGTAAAAAAAATAAAGAAACAAAGCTTTCACACATTAAATGGTTTTTTAAAATAAAATAATGAATATTATTTGTTTTATTTGTAAATATCATTTATCATTAATTCTCATGATGTTATCTTTTACTGTAATTTGTTGACATTTTATAATAAAATTCTTGGTGATATTAAAAATTTGCCACTCACAAAGTTTAAACCTATAGTGATACAAAAACTTTATACTAAGGAGTCATTATCAGGGATCGCAATAGCTACAGTTTTTTTACCTAAACTTCGGGGAACATAGACAGAAAATGGAGACTGCCTTACGACAATATTTTTTAGGTCCTGCACCTTTTCGCGATTCGGGAAACCACTCACGCGTCAGAAAATGTGCATTATAAGTAGTGAATAGGCCGGTTTTGGCGCGCGTTTAGTATGGAAATCCATAGAAGATAGGTCTAATAATACGTCTGTAGTGATTCCAAGACTGGATCGACTAAGACTTTGTAATGATGGGGCACTCAAGGTATTGTCCCATACAAAAAACACACATTTTTATTTCCTACTAAATTATTACATTTATGGCAAAATGTGAAAAGACAATATTTAATTAGGACAATAGGATCTCGATTGGCATTTTTTTAGAGAGGTATTGTGAAAAAAATCCATTGTCCGCAATATCGCTGATCCGACCCACTGTGTCGCAAAGCAGCCTGTCCTCAATTACGTCAATTTTTAATGTACTTAAGTGATTTCCCGAATCCCGAATACGCCCAGGACCTAAAAAATATTATCATAAGGCAGTCTCCATTTTCTGTCTATGCTCCTCAAAGTTTAGGTAAAAAAACTCTACCTTCTGCGATCCCTGGTCATTATTTATTCAGCTTCTGCGTACCGAGATGACAATAATCCGTGGTAGTGACCCATTTAATTCTTGCAGGTATTATCAATAAAGATTTGAAATAAATATTTTAAATGATAAATGCATTCAAAGGTATGTTTACAAATAGCAACCCCTAGTCTTTCTTGCTAATTCTTCTCAGGGAAATATGCCTTACAAACAAACTGTAGAGTTTAATCAATATAAAGGTTTCAAGTGTAATTAGCTTACTTATGAAATAAGGATGATTTGAGTTTGAAGAAAAAGGTTTACGACCACTGCTTCTTTGTTTATGTTTTTCCTAATTCTAAAAAAACGAAGTATAGTTTCATCCAGGATTGCTATATTCATGACTATTATCCACGTTAACAAAAACTACAAACCTCGTCTAATGACGACCACCTTCTATTTTGATTAAAATATTATGGATTACCAACTTCTGCTACCAACTGATCTTCAGCCACTGCTTGGTTCTTATTTCATATTACAAAGACGTCTATTCGTTATTTCACCAATGCGGTAACTTTATAATGACTTTTTTTACAAAATTTACAAATCCACAGTAAGAAAGAAAATTGTTTATTGCGTTAATAATTTACAGCACATTACACACATTATATGATTTGACACATAATACAATATACAAGATCAGTACAAAACCACCCAAATCTAAAACCACATTGACATAAACATACCGTTACTTTAGGGAAGAAAGGGCGTAAATATTAAAATGGAAAGTTTAGAAGACGAGTGACAAACATTTTATAAACGTTGACATCATTTTTATTTGTATAAAGCTTTTTTACTTAAAAAAATATTTTATGGCAAGCAACTAAAGAACAATGCCCAAGTTCTATATAGTTCTGGACCAGCTAAAAAATGTTGACGATTATCAATCTCCAGATACAGAGCTTCGATTGTTTTTCCATATGGAAATCTAATTAATACTGGATATATAGATTTTTTTACTAGGGAAAGTTGATTTAAACAACATTTTTTGTCTAGGTCATGTTAAATATTGTTGTGACGTACTATGGGGTATAGTTGGGTGCCTACATATTATAAGTAACGTTTAGATTCACTACGACATACATACGAATGAGATATAAATGGTGCAAAAAAGATTTTTTTTAAATGACAAGTTGTTGAAGTTTGTTTTTGAACTTTTTGAGTCAATGAGAAAAATGTGTTGAAGACTATTGTAATTTTAATCCATAATAGTCTCAACAACGTCGGAGAAATTATCGCAAGTGTAAACGAAACTAAAATGTCAAAGTGTGAGTTCCAATGCGTTCAATAACAAATATTTACAATATATATCCTCGAGATGCGTTTTTACAATACAAAAATTCTTTTTGTACACCAAAATGGACACAAATGCAATACTACAATTAAAATTAAAATAAGTAAGCGGTGGTACAATGGGCGGTCTTATCG